AGTCAAATGTCGATTGCAGTCGAACCACTAAACATGGCGGTTGTTCTTGCTCAAGGTGAGACAAAGGGTTGGAATCAGAATTAGAACTATTGATTGAAATGGCAATTAGATTGGAATAAAATTAGAATCGGAATAGCGGCAATTAGAATGGAAATATGTGTTCGAATTGGAGTTTGTATTGAATCTAGAATATTAAGTGAACAATTTATTTTTCCCTCAGCCACGACGAATGTTTATCTCGGTATTGTCGCAATGCAACGTGCACTGGAGACAGAGTGGAAGCCGTCGTCGCTCTTGATATTAAATATCGTGATTTTCACGAGAGCATTTATGAACGCTTGAGACGAAGTGGAGGTGAGAAAGCGTGCGGCGAGACGTATCTATGTCCTGATGGAGTACATCAGTGTGAAACAAGGTAGGCGGCTTTTTAAATTAACTATCTAGAATACTTTCGGTCCAAAATGTTATTTTAAACTGCTTTCTAGCGGTGCACAGGAGTGCTTCGTTCATTCATCGTTCACCCATGATTCCAACTTCAGTGGTAACTCACATTACTATGTACGTTAGATCTTCAACTATCCCTGTTTTCTCTGTAGATGCTACTTGGTTGACAATGCTGCAAACTTGGTCACCGATCCAGACTTTCTTGAAGCTAATATCACAGACGAGCGAGAGTACCAGAGGGTCTCACTTGGACGTAAAGAAGGCGACATAATGAAACAACTTGTTCAGGAACAGAAAGTTTATGAACAAACTCATCGCTTTGATTACCAGGGAATCTGTAGTGTTTCACCATATTTCCCCAAGGTACGTTTGAGGTCAACTTACAATGGTCTTATAATGAAATCAGGTTGGGACTGTTAATCTTGTGGTTAGCGTGTGTGATAGGGATTAAGAGGATTAGGGTTGAGATACGATTTAGGATAATGACTCGAAACCAAGATTAAGAAAAGTAGAGATGATATACGATTTGTATAATAGCTCGAAAACAAGATTAAGAGGATTAGGAATGATATGGTTTAGGTAGTATCAGGGATCCAAATGATGACAGTTGATGTAAATGCGGTAAAGAATTGGAGTAAAAATGAGAACAAAAGATGCGATGGTACATCATCTTAATGCGACCATGTATGATGACTGCTGAGCAGCCGTGTGTTCGGTTCTTAGCAGTGATCATTCATGGCAGAGATGATGCAGGATTCCCAGCTGGATCATAGAAAGACTATCGTGATTGCCTGAAGGCCTCCATCATCGCCGAGAAACCACTGGTATCTTACCACACGTTACGAGAAGTGTCGAGAAAGAACAGCAAAAGCCTCCAAAGCTGAGGTTGTCTCGGGCATCAAGATATTTACAGACGCATTGTCTAGCAGGATATGATTAATGCTTGCTTGTTTTTTGGCAAGAGAGCTCTTAGATACAAGCTGTGTCAAGTAAATTGTATATTTAGTTCGTCTGAGCTGATATTTGAGTGTAAAGGACTTATCGTGCAATGAATGAGCGCCTAATCATATCTGTGATGAAAAATATTTCCAACGTAGTTGATATGGTATGTTTAATTAATCATGGAAGGTAATCTTTTATTCTTTAAAAATTACCAACGATGATTCATTATTCATTATTTTTTCACTGAGGACGTTTCTCTGCTGGAAACATACAACTGCAACAATAACTCAGAATGATGTTGGATTGTTGCCTCATTGGCTCTTCACCCCAGTTATATCCACCAATAACAATCAGTTTTCTCACAAACTGTTTGTTATTGGTTGGTTTAAGTGGCGTGATAATTACCAATATCAACGAACTTTGGTAAAAAAGTTGATGGGATCTCTATGGGCCTGGATCATGAAAGGATATCACTGGAATATGCAAGGGTAAAGGTGGATCACATAGGGATAAAATTGAGTTTGGATGTGGCAAGAATAGAAGGCAATCACTAGTTTAATACTGAGGACATAATTTGTCCACTATTATCCACTATTGTCTCACTGGTAACTATCACGATTTAGCCTTTTTGTTCATTATTATCCCTTATGTCTCTCAGGTAACCCTCAAAGGAATTATTCAAACGCCAGAGGAAGAAGATGAATATTATCGGAACAGGGGACCCATTCCTCCATTCCAAAACGAGTATGGTTGTATTCAAGATGTGGTAGGATACGCCGCTTTATTTGAAGGTAAGAATTGTTTCCTTTTTCCTAATATTCCCGGATATCACTACCTAGCGTTTGTGTTGGACAAAATGTGTTACGGTCGATCGTTCAAAATGCCGAATAGTGAACGAGAACACTTCCAGCTTGTTTGCTAAAAACTAAAAAACACGTCCACGTTCCAGTGTTAGTATCAGATCATGCCTGAGAATTATGGTTTGAAATTTAGCGCATGGCCGAAATTTTGCTGCCGCATTGCCTAAGTTTTGATTTCGCATCGCCGAAATTTTGCTACCGCATGGAACACTTTTTATTACTGTATGGCACAAGTTGTTTTTTATCGCATTTTTCTGAAAGAAAGATCGTTTGTTTTAGACAATAAAGTTTTTACTGGACATTCGTCAGGCCCCTGCACTGTTGGCAACTACTTTTTCACGTCTTTGCCTAAAACCAATCTTTACCTTCTCGTTATCGAGAACTGGTCGCGGTATCGTCAATCATATTTTTACAATTTCAACTGCCGAATAAGCAACCAAGTATTTGACGCAGGTGCTTATCGTATCGTGAATGGTACGTGCAAACACATCGACCATAGTTCAAGCAAGAAAGAGACTTGTCCTAAACTGCGGGAGATTAAATTAAAATGCACTTATAATGGCTGCCGTCATGGACTTCCATCATGGCTGATTCTTTTCATTTCATTATTGCTCGTCCGTGTGTACAGTTAAATACGACGATCATTCTTATGTTTCCCGTGTCGTTTTGTGAGAAGAATGAAGAATTTATATATTGAAAGACGCGAGCTGGTTGGCCCAGATCCCTTACCCAACCACTGACATTCACTCCTATTTATTCTCCTCTTATATTATCCGTCTCCAACAGGGTCATGGTTCCTAGACGATTATTTTAAATACTCCTAGTTAATTAATTTATATAGTCCATTCTTTTTTCTTTGTTATTAAAGTCCCTGTGTTGTCCCCCTTCTTCCTTGGCGTCCCTCTCTCCCCTGAAGATCCCTCCAGCTGAAACTCATTGAACTAGTAAAAGCTATAACAAGTTAAAACCTTCAAAGCATTTTTATTCCAAATAAAAGCTTGACTATATCCTATTGATTTGCATATAAAATGGATTTTATATACACCTGTCATATAAACAATGATTTTATTATAGTGTCATGATAGCGTAATAATATTGCATAGAGATTTATTAAATTATATTTATTCACAAATTCGTCCTTGTTGATGAAGAGAATATTAAACAATGCTGTGCACTGTCGACGGTATTTTCCACAAGGCTTTGTTTCTTTTAACTGAACAAGGAACAGAAATATAACGGTTAACGATTGAAGACCAGACTATGAACGTTGCAAAAATGCAACTCTCTGGACCTCCGCCAGGAATCAAGCCTTTGTGATTCCGAAGTAAACTGCACTCACTCACTGCTGAACTATGGAGATCGTTGCTCGCAGTAGCAGACGAAGACTTCATGTGAGTATTGTTATTCATTTGATGAGAATTTTAATCGTCTGTGTACCTTGTTCTCGTGATCTACCATTATCCAATAATGATCAATATCAGATCTATTCCCTAGTTTTAAGGGTCTTCGCATCTTGTTCAAAATGCTGAACATATTTTCAACCAATTTGAATTTCATTCACATTTTATCCACTATTTCATGCATGTTCTAATTTTATATTCTCTGTGCCGGCGTTACGCCGAGTCAACGATCTTCGTTCAGTTAACACAGTTCGTGCATCTTTACTCATGAACATTAATATCAACGGGTTAGCCAGGCAGTTACCATAGAGCAAGCACGAGGTGGCCAGATAAAGAGCATAGTTATAACGAAAGTTCTCGAGCACGCCCGATTCTAAGAGCACCGCGAATAACGGAAACGGGAAAACGCAGATCACGAACACGGTAATGAGAACGCAAATGAGGTTGGAGATCTTCAAGACTTGCTCGACCAGCGTTTCCTGGTTCGTTCGATCGATAATTTCTACCGCACTTTGCTTCTCGTAAATCTGCTGCACCTTCGCGAGGCTTCGTCGTATCCCGTAATACGCGCACGCTCCAGTTATTCCGCATACTGCGATCAGAACAATCATGTAATAAAGAAAGAAATCAGCGACGTATTTGTTGGGCCAGATTATGTCGCATTCTATCCTGCCTTCGTCTCTAATGAGTTGCTTGTAAAATGCCATTGGAAGACCAATTGTTAGCCATGCAGCAAGCCAGATCCCAGCTATGATCTAAAAAATATGGAAAGACTATTGTTAGCCATGCCGGTAGCAAGATCCCAGTCATGTCATGTAGAAATACGAAGACGTGTCGTGAATATGTGGATTTTCAGTGTAGTGCCACTCCACAGGTTCAGGACGCAAGAGGATGCCTTAGAAAGTTAAGGATCATGCGGGATCATTCTGGATCGTGTACAGAGCTATTCAGAAGAAGTTACGTTATAAACTCTTACAAATTTCGCATTGCGAGTGCCCTGATGTGTGACTCCTTTTGCCAGCAAATACCTTTCCACAGCAATCGCACCAAAGGTAAGCGCGGACGTTGTTAGGCAAATATCCTGAATTGGTGAAACAAACTTGCATACAATCGTCCCATATGGCCATGATGTATGCTCTGGTATGATATCCATCGGTAAACTCACAAGCAGTATAAGCAAGTCAGCCACAGCGAGGTTCATCACCAGCAGATTAGTGCAGTCCTTTTTCGTATTATACGGGATCGTTCCGCGCAAGCTTCGCGCCAGGCTGATACTACGAATGACGATGCAGTTGAAAATGACACCGAAGAAGAAGATTACTCCAACAACAGTCAGCTCGATTATTCTCGGAAGATCCATCTGTCATATAAACGTTCGTTACCGGTCGTTAACGATCTAGAAGATTGCAAGAAATTTGTGGATGATGAAGACACTCGTATTTGTGAGTCGGTCTTGTTATCTCACATGCATTGCAATTCCTGTTATTTTGACTCGTATTAATACAAAAGGCTTTCTTATCCATTCGATCCCCGTCATGAATTTCAGGCCTGGTGATAATAAAACACTTAGCTTGGACGCCAACTTCGAGCTTTTTTTAACATTATCTCGAATAAAAAAACTATTGTATATTTCCCCCTCGCCCCTGCAACCGAGAAAATCTGACTTGGGTCCCTGGCTAGGGCTGTCTACCCTGCAAGGCAAAGGGGTTATCAAAATTCAGTACGTATTGTCCAAAACTGATCTCAACGTCGTTTAGGTCATTCTGACGCAATGAGAATGTAATCTTCAGGTGAATGTTTTCATTTAAGACGAATTATGCAGAAAATAACAGAGTATTGAATCCAGAATGCAGTGTTTACCACATATCACGAGAGTAAAATTTGAAAACAGGGACAAAACTACTAGCTGAAGGCCGTGTGGAATGGACTTGAAACAAATGATTCTGATCTTTTGTTTTTTCTTAAACGAAGAGCTATTGTATTTCTGTGATGGTTGGCACGCGCATGCTTGTGTTTATTTCTAGAGTCTCTTCATTTCATTCACGATATCAAAGTGATAAGAGTTATCACAAGAAAACATCGTGTGGTTTGACCGCTAATGTTGTACTTACGTCTATCACAGTTTTTTTAGGCTGGGTTCTAGGATAGGATTACTAAAAAGGATGTTTTGCATTATATTTGCAACGGAAGGATTGGTATAGGGAATAATTCCACTCTATGTTTACATCGTTTCCAAGGCATTCACTAGTGTGGACAGAGCGAGTGCTCTTGAAACGAGGTTACCTTGGCTGCATGTATGGTTTGATGATGTGATCGTGGCTGGCCCGAATGCAGACAAGTTCAAATTAATGAGTTTACATTGTTGAACTGTTTACTCATAAAACTCTTGTGGTGAATTCGTGCTAACGATGTTTACATATTAATTCCTGGCAATTGCCAATGGTATAGCTGCTTTTAGCCTTTTAAGTTAGCAGCCAGTTTCACATTGTCGTAGTATCATTATCTTCTATGGCGACACCATTAGACCTTGTGATGTCATGCGCTTCACAGGCCACAGGGGCCCAGCATTCATGGGGGGGGTATTCACAACTGTTGTCATGGTTGCATTCTCACAGGTTCACTAGAATTATCTAATTAACGTGCGTGAATGCACATTCTGAAATTTTATCTACACAATCTCTGGTTTCATTGAAAATGGATGTTTTAGATAGCGTATAATGAAGCAGATTCTAACAGTATAAAACAATGCTTTGTGTCCTGTTTATAGAAAAAGGAATATAGAAAGAATTTAGCATGAAAAATACGTAACAATTGCCACTGACTGAATGGATTGACAAGTAACTGAATGACAACAGTAAAATGTCAAACTCGAGTTACGAAAAAAGCGCTACAAAAGATCCACTAAATAAACGCCTTGTAAAACCTTAATGATAGCCTACCTTGTGATTTCAGTGTTATGAAGGTGTTTTACGCAGAACGAGAAAGGAGTCTTCTTCGATACTTTTGTTGTTTTGATGGTTATCTGATGCTGTTTAACTGCAAGAGATAGCACACAATGAAACAATATAAAAACTGGACTTAATGGCTTATGACTGTCTGGAGTAATCTTATCTCCTTCCATCTAATTCACAGCTGGAGAGTGATAATTAGGTTCCCTACGGCTCCGCTACGTGAACAATATTCGCGCTCTAACACAGTTTGTCGACTTGACTTTCAGAAGATTGTATAATTTAGAACTTGAAAAAGTTGGGAATACGTTATAGCTGATATTTGACTGCGGTGCAAAACACCTTGGCTTGTGAAAATTTCCCTGTCGTTTCTCCTCCTAAACTAATGATAGTCGCCGCCGCGCAAGTTATTCTAAATAGACGCAGTTTATTCGTTTTTACGGATAAATGAACTATCATTCATCCATTCTTCCAACGTTTTCCCTCACATATGACCCATTTCTATTATAAACCCTGCGATTTCTTAAATGAAGCTTCCATTTGGCCGAAGAATTCAACCGAATTTCCTTGTTTTCTCTGTGAGATTCTGGGGAGCTTTACGAGCAAAGTTTTCAGTTTGAAAACGTTCATTATACTTAAATACTTCCGGTTAATGCCAAAAACACTGATTGTGTGCGATCTTTAATAACTGTTATCACTACTGTGCACTCACTGTTTTATTTCATATTGTGGATTACCGGATTAATCCTCGCCGGCTTGAAATAGCAACATTCCAGCAACACTCAAAACTGATAAACATGGCACCGGCATTTCAACTGACAGCTCTGCATATCTCTTAAAAAATGTGACTTACAAGAGTGGGGGGATTTTTCACGTTTACGTAATTTTTAAGTTTTGCAATCAAATAATTCCAAAATTTCAATCCTTGCATGGTGCTCGCTGTTTATTTCACATTACACTGGATTCATCTTTTACTAGTATTTTATACAACGTCAACTCCCGCAAGTCTGTTTTTTATTCATGAAATTTGCTGTTTATTTAGTGGGTATAATTTGCACAGCTGCGTTTTCGTCTTTACTGACATATACCTTTCAAAACATCTAGCTTATAAAAACAAAGCGTAGAGAAGTGTCAGCCTAGACTGAGGCCTTGTTTAGCCAACGGCATCTAAACATATAATATTGCTTACGTAAAATATATCGACGCAACTTGCAAGAATGGCGCGAAAACCTTTTAAGAAGCAAACTGTAAAAAAGGTGAAAATACCTTCCAAATTTGGCATCAGGTGAAACTCGGGCTCCAAGCTCTTTAAAACTACTCTTGCGCGGTTCAAAGGAAGACTGTCGTATACTACATGAACGTTACTTGTCAAGAATGCAAACGTTTTGCGCTTTTTAAATGTACAAATCTTGCGTGATAACATCTTAATGAGACAGTTTTGAACGTCAGCATGTTTTGTATCTTAATAATTGTGTCTACCTGTCCACCTTCTTTCGATATTCTACCCGATATTGTGTAGACAACACATTTGAATTTTACAATCTTCGCACTGATCAGCTGATGAATTGAAAGTATTTCCTCCGTTTTGTATTTTAAAATAGAATGAAATGCGTTGTCAATAATTTCGTTAAAATATTTATGCTTTTTCAGACAAAAGAAATTGAAAATTGCCAGTCGCTGAGAGTCACACAGTCTTGCAGTGTAGCATCGCTGCAGTATTAGGCTGACATGTGTGCAGGCACGTGCATTTTGGCCACGTGCACGGAATCCTGTACTAAGCTAATGGACATAGAATGCACTTCAAAACAACCAGGTGAGCACCGTTCTGTCGGGTCTTCGCGGTCTATACCTCCCCCGCCCACATTGGGGCTTGGGCCCTGTAGATTGTTAGCTGTGTCTTCCCTTAAGGTCTATACCCCTACATCATTTGAGCGTTTAGGGACCTTGGGGCTTGTTCAAAAGTGTGGGGAGGAAGCTGGACCAAAACTTAGTGCCATGCAATTTCACTTGCAACACAGAGGAAATGTGGGTGCTCTATTGACGGTCCATACAATCACCCAATACTTCACTTCCCAATTTCCCAATATAGGCGAAGTCAAGTTAATGAGTTCACTTCAGACCAGCCAATATGAGAAAGATAAAATTTGAGAAATAACATAAAAAAAATCGAGAACATGTGTCCAAGAACTTTATATAGTTTTTTTGAGGCAGACATTCGTTAGTATTTTATATATTCTCTCCCTAAAATGCTTATTTCGTGTTACTGCATGGACAAATCAATGAACAAAGATAAATCTTTAGGTAGTACGCTTAAATCGATTGTGATGCAACAAATATGTTTTAGACGACGAATTTTTTTCATTTGTCACCTAATTTGTATGGTAAGAGGTGGTTGATCGTGGACGAAGATATATTAATATGAGGCGTAGGATAAACTTAAAGTGAATGTTTGACATCATTTGTTTATCCTCACGAGAAGAATCCGGTGAAGCACAGGGCTTTGAGATCGAAAAAATGAACGACAGCCAACGCTATAGGTTCTAAAATCCTAGACAAAAACCACGGACGCTATTTATAATGGCTGAACTTTAGGTCTATCAATTATTTTTTCGCATGCAGTCGTATTCCCTGCTCCCCTGTTACAATGTTGTTGGGAATAGTATTGCAGTAATCGCCATAACAATTCAAGTGTTTATCAACATTGTTTCGGGGGGGGGGAGGGGGTCAGTTTTATAAAGGATATGTAAATATTTGTCACTGATAATTTCTTTCTTTCACACTTGTCCGAGCAAATTTGTCTATAATTGTAGGTTCATGAATGTGCATGTGTGAAAAGGAGTTTGTGTATGCAGGCGAGGTGTGTGGGTAGGCAGGTTGTGTATGCAGGCGAGGTGTGTGGGTAGGCAGGTTGTGTATGCAGGCGGGGTGTGTGGGCAGGCAGGTTGTGTGTGCAGGCGGGTTGTGTGGGCAGGGAAAGACTGTGTGGGTGGGGAAAGGGGGTGGTTTCATGTGGAGGGTGAGGGGAGAACATTGTGTAATGAGGGGGCATTTGTATGAGAGGGTGATGGAGGAGCAGTTCCCGGCACAATGAAGTAATGTTTTCAACGTTCTTAGAAATGCTATACCTGGCTTTCATCGTCTTAGAAATGCTATATTCGGCTTTCAACGTTCTAAGAAATGCTATATTCGGTTTTCAACGTTCTAAGAAATGCTATATTCGGCTTTCAACGTTCTCAGAAATGCTATATTCGGCTTTCAACGTTTGTAGAAATGTTATACTCGGCTTTCAACGTTTTTGAAATGCTATATTCAGCTGTAAATATCTTTCGGAGAAGGGGAGGCACCGCGATACCATATTTGCCGCTCATTAGATAAAAGAATTCTAGATTAAGTCAGTTTACATCAATAGTTCCTGTTTTTTATGTTTTTCCATTTAGAAAACCTGCAAGATCAATTAAGTTAGTTTAGATCAAAAGTTCCCGATCGTTCGAGTCGCCATTTCTAATTAAATTATAATCTTATAAAATCTTTAGGGACTAAACAAGATACATACGATAACACACAGCTGCTGCATGGGTTCCGATTTAAGAAATATTTTTATTCCTCTTTTTGCCTAACTTGCTTGGAAATGCTTGGAAATGTTCATACAAAAATTTCAGAATAATTATAAATAATTTTCAGCAGCAATTAAAAAACGATATAAATAAAAATTTATCTATTATCGTTAAATTTATGAATATTTAGTAATATGATAATCAATTAAACCTATTTTTAATACAATGGACTGACCTATGTGCATAAAATGATTGTTCGTATCTTCGGCTTGCGAAATGTGGAGTTAATCGCTGCTTTTGTCCCATAAAAGTCTCGATTAAATATAATTATTTGCTAATAAACTAGACTTATGAACGCCAAATCGGCGATAATAAATACAGATTCATTTCAACTCTTTATCAAAATCTGAATAATCAGGAAAGTCTACAATATGAACATATTTCTCTACTAAATAAGAAGGGAACATTCCAAGTTTACCGTTCGCCCTCGAAGTCCCCTTAGAGAACCCATCCCAATGATTGCCCGCAATTTTCAATCTGTCACCTGGTTTCATGTTCACTTCATTATAATTCTTAGCTTTGTATGAATAAACTGCTTGAACGTCGTTCACAGATTGTCCACCAAAGTAATACACGTCATCGAGTGACTGGACTCTCTCTGAAGCGTCTGTTGGTGAATTAGCCTGCATCATTTCATAGGCGACACGACATACCTAATTGAAGAAGAAAGGTAAAATGGACTTCTCTACTGAATTTTAGCTATCAGATCTAAACTATTCCCTCTCAAAGTTTCGACAAAAAGCATCTTTGAATATTTTACCTGTGACGATAACGTACAGACAATGAAATCACACTCGGAGAGCATTTGAATATCGAAAATTAATCCATGAAGTGAATTCTCGTTGTATCGTTCATTAACTCCAGCAGACTTCGAGATTTCATTATCACTTACAAAGTTATAATGTGGATACCTGAAAAGATACAACACATGCCTTAAATACCTTAATATATTAGAGAAAATAAGCAAAAAGTAATTAAAGTAATAGATATCCTAATAGAAGCACATTTCGTCTGAGATTTAGGTCAGGATTGAGTGTTGCACAACTTGTCTTGCTACTATAAACCTCGCTCAAAGCACAACGATAATCGGTATTTACTTTTTCTTTGCTTCAGACAGAACAGTGAAGTCATCTGAAGCCAGATAAACATTCTTCTGATCAACTTTCTGGGATAAAGAAAGTTTCTTGTAATACAAATCAACCCAGTACATGTACTCTTCGATTGAATGGTAAGCCGCTTCGCCAACATTGACTTTGTCTGTTCGACGAATGTGAATTCTGAAAAAGATGTTTGAATACTAAGGCGAGAATCCAACATTAAAGTGAACGCAGTATAAATGAATTTAGCTAGTTTAGTTTAGGTTTTCTTGTAGTAAAACTGGATCAATAAGAGATGATTCTTACTGGACCTCTAAGATGAACAGTTTAGAACTGATAGAGCTATCCTGTATAAGTAAAGTTAGTTTAGTTTAGGTTTTCTCCTGTAGTAAAACTGGATCAATAAGAGATGGTTCTTACTGGACCTCTAGGAAGAACAGTTTAGAACTGATAAAGCTATCCTGTATAAATAAAGTTAGTTTAGTTTAGGTTTCCTCCTGTAGTAAAACTGGATCAATAAGAGATGATTCTTACTGGGCCTCTAGGATGAACAGTTTAGAACTGATAGAGCTATCCTGTATAAATAAAGTTAGTTTAGTTTAGGTTTTCTCCTGTAGTAAAACTGGATCAATAAGAGATGATCCTTACTGGGCCTCTAGGACTAGGATGAACAGTTTAGAACTGATAGAGCTATCCTGTATAAATAAAGTTAGTTTAGTTTAGGTTTTCTCCTGTAGTAAAACTGGATCAATAAGAGATGATTCTTACTGGACCTCTGGATGAACAGTTTAGAACTGATAGAGCTATCCTGTATAATAAAGTTAGTTTAGTTTAGGTTTCCTCCTGTAGTAAAACTGGATCAATAAGAGATGATTCTTACTGGACCTCTGGATGAACAGTTTAGAACTGATAGAGCTATCCTGTATAAATAAAGTTAGTTTAGTTTAGGTTTCCTCCTGTAGTAAAACTGGATCAATAAGAGATGATTCTTACTGAACCTCTAGTAAGAACAGTTTAGAATCCATCGTAAGTACAGTTCCACATTACTAGACAAAACAAACATTTATCATTTCACTTACCCTACAATCGGAGTTTTAAAACCTAACATAATTTTTTTTTCATCAATTTCTTGCTTAATTTTAGGTTGATATTGGAACAAATACTTGGCAAACTGTCCAATCCACCACACAAAGGGGAAACCGTGGAACGACTGGATCCTTTCTACCAAATCCTTGGGAACCGCAAGAGGTAGGTGTTTGGGCTCGGGGTATATGCCATCGACAATTGGTAGTTGAACGATCTTACTGTTTTCAGAATTTACTGACCACATTTCGTGCTGTCCTTTAGCAACTGTGCATGTGTTGCTGGCTGGTACAAATACACCCTCCCAACCCTTTTCCGAATATCTCCAGCCGTAAGAGTTTATGATTAGCGTTCGTTTAGTGCCATATGCGGTTATAAAACAATATAAAAGATGGTGCACTTGACATCCGTAACCACAGCCTTTGTTCAAATCGCATAGCAGTTTCCGTGCGGAATTACAGTCCTTTGGATTCTGTAAACGCTTCAAACGGTTTTGTACTAGTTTGCTAAGCTTCGCTTGCTCTTTCTTACGCCAGCTTAACAGGGAATCATGATTGTTTATTCTGTCGAGGTTGTTTCCCAAAGTTCGATGCATTTCCGCAAAGTTATCCAACATTTCCGTTAATCTTGCTTTCAGAGAACTTCCTAAGTTTTTGTTAATTTTTGTGACTTCAGCGCTAAGATAATACCACATTTCACGATGCTCCTTCATTGCCCTTCGTCTTATTTTTTCCAGCTTCAAGCTTGGAGCTTCTGTTTTATGTTCAAATCGTTCAACTGATGCATTTCTTGGCGCAATGCTGTCGCCCTGATGCTCTCTCGGGTCGTGAGATGGCTTTGTAGATGTACTACTACTTTTCAACCGATGCGTCGTTCTTTGAGACGAGGAATCCTTCATTTCTATCGTGGGTCTCACCAGCGGACATTTTTTCTTGCATTGTTTCTGAAGGTTCGAGACTTGTTCTTTAAGTGAACTTATTTCCGCTTGTAGATTGTCTATGAATAGATTTGATTTATTTAGAACCCGCTTTGCTCTTCGTAGCTGATTCGTCTCTGGCCCGCATTTGTCAAAATCCGTGAAGGCAAAATAACTCACGACGACCATCCAACCTATTAAAGCGAGTGTTGGAATATATTTCCATTTGCGAAATGCCATAGGGCTTCAAATAGTCGACTGTAGCTCTCGTTCCATGGTTTGAAAGCATAAGATTTGCTGATTTGTGGCAGGGAAAACCTTACCACAGGACGTCACAAGGGCCAATTAAGGCTCAGTGACACCTGTTGCCAGACAGGTCACTAATGTCAGTAATGATTGGATTTAATATTTCATCTAAAGATTTCAATTCTGATATTATGAAACTTTGAAATACATGATTCAACTGTATTAAACATAGCAACGAAATAGCCACGCTAAGGAATAAAGATTCGTTAGCGAGAGACGCTTTGTAATGTTTTCTTTTTTTTCCTTTAAGAACTTTCTTGGCTTCTTCGCTATTTAACCGCTAAACAGGTGGTGTTTAAGTGTCATCTCCTTTTAAAACACAACCTGCGATTGTTTTCAGATTACATGGTTTAAACATCAACAGTTTTTGTTGATGTTAAATATCAGATAATGCAAAATATCGAAACCAAAGTTTACACAGCAAATTTGTGTAATCAATTATGATTTAAGTAACGCGATTCACGGTTTCAATATGTTTTCTACGTTATCTACAATATTACTACGCTTCTTAAATATCTCTCGTTATTTTATGTTCTTTGAGTTCGTCTTTTGCTCCAGCTGGGCATTCCTGCTCTTCAGATAAGAGTTTTACATTTACATGATAGCAGAGTCTAGCTAATGAATAAGTCAATTAAAAGAACTTTTTCTTGTTTGCTGTGTATCTTTCCATGTACTATGAAATGAGAAAAGAAAAAAATTCATAAGCTAGATTACATGGATAACTAGTCAGGTAATACACCAAATAAAAAGTAATTGCCTAGTCCCTATGGTGACTTCCAAACAAAAATTACCATTAAGGCAACTGACAATACAAATCTTGTAAAATAAATAGAGATGATTCGAATGATCATACCTGGTCATAACCATCTTTATCTGTAAGATCTTTTATTTGAAACAAATTTCCATCAACTGCTAGCACACAAACTTGAGAACTCCTCAGAAATTCACTAGTTATAGATGCAAGTTCCAGCAGATTTTCTTCAACTCTTAGGACTTTGAGTCGTGGACACAAGCTAAGTGAAGTAGGAATCCCTTTTAACTGGTTCCCATTCATATTAAGTTCAATACATTGGAGTTTTTCAACATTTTCAGGCAACTCCGTAATTTTATTCTCAGACAGATCAACGACATTTAAATGCCTAAGTTCACATAGAAATTTTGGGAAAACTGTCAGTTTGTTGCTTTGTAAATGTACAGATTTCAAGTTCACAAATTTTGAGTAGGAAGATGGGATTTCATTGATATGATTGTAACCCAATTGTAGATTTTCAATTTTTTTCATTCCTGTCAGTTCATTTGGCAGGTGATCTGGAAAGTAAAAATAATTATGTGTGGATGATTCATGATTGTGGGATATATAGGGAGAGTTTTGAGGAGACATTTGGAGAGATGATATACAATGAGGGGTAATATGGAGGGAAGATAGAGAGTAAGAGAGGTCAAGGTGGATGTTAGGATGTTTAGAGTCAAAACCTCTTGTGCAACTTTAACATACCAATTTCATTATGCTCAGCATTCAGCTGTTTTAGTTCAGTAAAATTCCCCAGAGATGCAGGAATTGCTGTTAATTTATTGTTTGAAAGATCCACTGTTCTGACAGTTGAAGCCAGACTCATTACAGCCGTAGGAATCTAAACATTCAAATATATTAGTCTAAGAGATTTGCTACTTAGCAGACATTGTTATTATCATGCTTTATAGACACATCTTGCATTTCCAGAAAGATGACCTAATTCACATAGCCCCTGGCCACGCCCTAAACATACAATGTACCTCACCAAAACCATTCCAAATTGTAACGATTATTTGTAAAACATTATTTGTATACATTTATATTAACTTTAGTATATTCGAAGATATCTCTAAAAGAGATAACTTTATGGAAATCATTCTAGTTATATCATTAACGTGTTTAATCACCTCTCTTAGCTTCCGACCAGAGCAATTTAACACTCGAGTTTTCTTAGCTGTCTCAATATGTGCAGCCATTGTGTCGACTTTATTGCCCATTTTTGTGACGGAAATGAACTCAAAACGTTATTCTGCTTGTTGTTTCGTCTCCGGGAAAAAACCCCGTTAAATCGATGCGAGAATTTAGGGCAAAAAGTATTTTAGACACAATTTCATCCAGAACATTTTTTATAGTACGCACATCTGTTTATTTATTTTAGAAAACACTGACCTATATAACTTTACTGTAATTACATTAGTTTCCTTCTCTTCGTGTTTCCACTTAGAGAAATAATTAGCATTTTGTGCATTTTTAGATAGGTTAGACTTGAAACTTTTTTTTGCTTTTTAAATGAGTAAATAAATTTTTAGGGCAAAGAAGAAAGATTGAAGTATGTTTGAAGCGAAGTGAAATTCTATTGCTAGCCTACACACAAAACTCAATAATCTATCTTCTGTACGAGTTGCAAACTGTATTAGGGCGCTTTTTTGTATTGTACTGAGCATTAGGATAATAAATAACAGAGTTATATCTACGATCTCTAGAGAATGAGATCGTTAAGATGAAGTGATTGAAGATTTTTGAAGTCAAATATGACTTTAAATATTACTTGTAATATTCATAAATCACTCATATTCATAAATATTCATAAATCACTTTTGAATTGCATAGTTCGAAGTGGAAACTTTGACAAGTGCGCGCGTGCGCAGAGAGTCTCACATGTTTCAAAAATTTTATACATTTTCTTTTGAGACAAAAAGTTTTATTTCCGATCCTTAGAAAATATATCTTTCTTCAACGCTTTTGCCATGCCACCACCAGCAGAAGGCATTACGAAGGTGGTTGTTCATCCACTGGTTTTACTAAGTGTTGTGGACCATTTCAATCGCGTTAGTACAGCGGGAAGTCAACGTAGAGTTGTCGGTGTCCTTCTCGGGGCGAATAGAAAAGGAATACTGGATGTGTCTAATAGTTTTGCAGGTAATCATCACTGTTCTCTTGATTCAAAATAGTATTTACAATATTTATATACGTAAATATAATTAAGAGTCAAATATAGTACAGACCATAATCACCATATACACCATAATATGCACTGTCATATTAAAATTAACAAAATTTGACAGAATTACAAAGGTTGGTTAGACCTCTCAACTAAGAATACGAAATAATACTAGTATTTGGTGCTGTTTAACTGCTTGTACCATACCAAGGTCTATATTTAGAGAACTATTATTAGCATTAGCTATACCACAGGCATTTGTTGTAGTTCATACAATCCATTTAGGTCTCTTAAACCTTGTCATTGACAAGGAATTCCTGTCAGTTAGTTGAATCCCACCTATTTGACAAATGAGACACCTATATATTCAAGTATAGGATAAGCTAGAGAGACTGACGGGGGCCTTACCCTCTTGCTGATTAGAAAGTAGTCTTGTGTTAAACAAAGTAATATGCTAAAGTGATGCAATCAACTCTGTTTGTAGTTCCCTTTGACGAAGATGAACGTGATTTGGATGTTTGGTATTTGGATCATGATTACTTGGAGAATATGTACACAATGTTTAAGAAAGTGAACGGTTTGTGAAATTAATGATTTGGAATGCTTTTAAATACTTAGTTAACATTGTATATAAATTGTGTGTTTATCTGTTTAGCACGTGAAAAAATTGTTGGATGGTATCACACAGGACCAAAGCTACATCAAAATGATACAAAAATCAATGAACTTGTCCAAAGATATTGTAGCAATTCGGTAAGTAGTGAACTAAATAATCCATACAGTTACAATGCATTACCACATTTTATTCTAAGTGTAGTTCATTGCTTGTAATACCTACTGTTTGTTCTGCAGGTATTAGTTATAATTGACGCTAAACCAAAAGATCTTGGATTACCGACCGAAGCTTACATTGCTGTTGAGGAGGTGCATGATGTAAGTATCTTGATTATACATACAAATTATTGGATATTTAGCAGTCATTGTAGGTCCAGGTTAGATTTCATATTATTTTTGTTGGGTTGGACATCGATAGTGGAAAGAGTACATTGTAAACACTTGAATGGTGTCAAACTGTTAAAACAATATAACTTTTGGAAGACATTATCCATGATTTGTGAGGAAAACTGGTGGTAGAGATCTTGTGATGATGGAAGTCCAATCATTCTTTGATTTCTCCATAGGATGGCACTCCAACAAGCAAAACATTTGAACATGTTCCTAGCGAAATAGGTGCTGAAGAAGCTGAAGAAGTTGGCGTAGAACACTTGTTACGGTATGTGAATGTCTTCTCATACTTTCCATTTCATACCTTTTGTGATATTTGAAACAGGCTAACAACATCATACGGTTAACAACATCATAATTTTTAACTTTCAGTGATATAAGAAACCTAACAGCAGGCACCCTGTCACAACGTATTACGAGCCAACTCACCTCATTAAAAGGACTTAATAAGCATCTTCAAGATATCCGAAATTACTTGGAAAAGGTAGTGATGGGTACACTGCCTGTGAATCACACCATAATCTACCAACTACAAGATGTTTTCATTGCCTGACCTGAATGTGGCTGAGCTTGTGAAAGCAACGTCGGTGAAAACCAACGATCAGATGTTGGTCATATATACGGCTTCAATTGTTCGTGTGATAATTGCGTTACATAATCTTATAAATAACAAAGTTGCTAATCGAGATGCAGAGAGAGAAGAGAGTGGAAAGAAAGAGGATAAAACTAAGGACAAAGATAAAGATAAAGACACTAAGGAAGAAAAAAAGGATAAACCTGGCAATAAGAAAGAAGACACAAGTAAAAAAGAGGAAACAAAATAAAAGAAAGTTTAGGACTATTGTATGTGGCATTGAATATGTTAAATGTTTTGTAATTGTAATATAAGTGATGTGTTTATCTCCCAATACAAAATCCTATCAACAGCAAAATGGTCAAAAGCAACAGCTATCCTTTATTGATAGAAAATAAATATAAAGAATACTATGTGAATTAGACAATGTCAGTCAGACTCATCATCTGAGTCTTTGACTAGTACGACTGACGTACTCTTAGACTTTTCTTTGGAAGTTGTCTTGCTTGTTATTGCACTGAAAAACATGGATTTAAACTTCTTGTTTGGTGGTGTGCCAGGTACGCTTTCCTGGGATGCGTTAACCAAATCATGTGGTTCTTGTCCTCGGTCTTCAAGTTGCATGGTTTTATTCTTGCCAGATCTTACTCTTATCCCTTAAAGAAAATGTGATTTCTTTTAATTCAACATTATCAAACCAATTGTGCATTCAGTTGGAACTAGCTGTAGCAATTAATATGATTATACTTGCTTTTACCTGGTGACTTTAGAGAATCGACAGTCAAGCTGTTTTCAGAATCTAGTAAACCACTTGGTAATGCACTGAGCTCAACTGACTGTTTTTGTTTTACCATAAGATTACGTTGCACTTCGGTTGAAGTGCTTGGAAGAGAATCCTCAAAATTTGGATGTTTCTTTCCGCTACTTCTTGATCTTTCTTGGGTAAGATTCTTCTCAATAGCGATTGCTTCCTTTGTCCAGTCATCATCATCATCAAAACCAAACTCGTCTTGATCCAGTTTTGGTTGAGATTTTACCAGATGTTTGCTTGGTTTTTCAACCGTTCTTTCTTTTTCGTTTGTTCTTTGATTTCCTGGTTGCTTTTTTTTTGGATTTTCACTCGTTTTATTTGCTTTCTTTGACACTGGTTTGTTTGACAGTTCCAAAGTTTCTTCATCCTGCAAATCCATTAATGTGGCTAGAACAAAATTAGCTTCGAATGTTGGATCATTGACCAAACTAAATACAATTGGTTTTCCAGCAGATTCAAAGTGAATGTCAAGGTTTTCCTTTGTCCAATCTGCAAAAGTTATTATCCCCTTCAATTCTTTCAAACAAAAGGTAACTTCAGTGTCCACTCCAATTTGAAATTTGTCAAACTCCTCAGCAGCCAACACCATTTTAGTCTTAATCACTGCGTACGGATCTTCACTTTCATCCACGTAATTAGTAACAACTAAATTTTGTGGACAAACTGCAAAGGTGATTTCCTCATGTGCATTCTGGAAATTCGTGACAACATCATTCAGTATATTTGGTTGAACATTGACCACATTAGGTGTGAGATCTTTTGTAAAGATCGCTTGTAAGCTTTCGCAGTCTTGATATGATAAATTATAAGTTTTGGTAATACCGTGACGGCAATACAGTAAGAATGTCAATTGTTCTAAGTCATCGTCGATTTTGATTGTACATTGATCAACCACTCTGTCAACAGTGTTAAGGGATTTAAAAACGGTCAGACAAGACTTCATGGAAAGTTTACACTTGAAATCTTCATCAAGGGAATCCTGACTTTGGTGGTTCGAAATGCTCTCGTCATAAGTTAGGAAGAAACTTTTTGTAAACAAACAACATGCGTAAGCAGATCTGGAAGAGTTTACAGTCCTCAATGACAATCCTTTCTTTAATGGCTCAATATAGATTTCATCACCAATTTTTGCCAAGCAATGAATTGACCTTGCAAAAAGTTTCACAGCATCTCCAACTAAAACACACCGCATTTGAGTTTTATCTCTCTTTAACACAATTTCCAGTATTTGTATTTGGTAATCTTATTGTAACCAAAGATGCAAATGCAAATTAAATGACCAATCTTGGAATTTAGTTGAAAATCTCAGGAACATGAACGTTTTCACCCCCCTGCCTTTTCTGATATTTGTTAATAATTTTATTTGTGGAGGCAGATATACAGGGGGGAATTTGATAAAACCAACGCGACACAAATATGGCGTCCTAAAAGTGAAAAGTGAAATTCAAATACACTGAGAAAACTATGTAACTATGAAAAAGAGTAAATGTCTTTGCAGGTAGTCTCTTGCAACGATGAGTGGTAGTCGCGGTACAACACGGGTTAGTTTTGTGTGTCAAAGATGCTCTCAACCATTACGTCTTGACCAAAGCTCATTTAGTTCCATCGACGATGAAACGCTTTCGGAGCTAACACGTAAGTTTCATTAAATTACTTTTCGGGCTAATCTGACAGCATTTTTATATGTCTGTGTCGTGATAATATTCATTCTGTACGTAAACTTAATATTTGTACAGTATGCACAAATGTAACTAATGTAAGTGCAGGATAAACATTGTATATAAATGTACTGTACATTTGATAATTTTGATTCATATACATAACATTCGTGTTATACACATAAATTCCCATTCACAATTTTTATTATTTTATAGTCCCTTTGCCTAGTTTACCAGTTGTACCTACTGATAAGTCAACTGGCAAGGAGACCGATTCTAAAAATGAGGTATCAATAATTTTAGTCTATTTTCCCAATTGTTAAATTTATTGTACATGCATTATTATAGAAATTTTCATGACAGAGGCATTGTTATTGAGAGGCAAATCATCTGAAAATCACAAACAATTCATTTATCTGCCTTGGAAATTCGTTCATCACCTAATGGCTAATGTGTAACCAGTTACCAGCCACTAAAAGTGATTGATATAATGTTTTTAAATGTAGGTTCATATATCTGAGGTGAATGACAATGTCGTTAGGAGGACAATTACGTCTAAAAGGTGACTTAATGTGTATTTATTGGCATGAGAAATTGTATCAACAGTGTTTATAATGATCAATGTATTTTACTGTTCACTTGCAGGTCTATTGATGGTAATGGTTTCACACTGATTGATGCTCAAAATGTGCGATCAGATAACCTTAGCCATCGACTTAAGGTACCATAAATGTTTTCTGTATTGTCTTTGATCAGATTTACTGCATGTGCAATTATAATATTCATAAATTCCATTTGATTAGCAATACATTGTTTCGCTTACACCCCTTTAACTTGATTTGAGTTCAACCAAGCCCCGGCTAGGAAACCTAAACCCATGAAAACAGGGCAGAGCCATGCTAAAGTGGTGTTTACAATACAAACTCCAGTTCGGACGTAGCTCTGCAGTGTGCGTTAGACATGGTTTATGATGTAAAAGTGTTGCCTACATGAAACTCTTCAATGATATTTTGAATTTGAGAATTGGTGGTAGAATATTCCTAATTCTTTACAGGTGACAAGTCAACTATTTGATATAATGTCAGCACAATCAAACATCGATCATCCATTGTGTGAGGAATGTACGGACACTCTACTAGATCTGTTAGACCATCAACTAAAAGTCACTACAGATGAACTCAATGATTATAGCAAAGAATTTTTGGATAAAGTAGATAGCAATAAGGAAGAAGACACAGAGTCATTGACGAAAGATTTAGAGAATTTGAAATTGGAAGAATCTCAACTGATACAGGTAATATAGACTGACCTGTATCTTCATGTACCCTATTTACCCCTGTTATCCACTCAGTTTATACCCATCTTCACAACAAATACCCGTCATCATCACATAGCCATCATATCTATCATTAGGTATCCACCACTATCCCTCCTTTCACTAGGAATTGGAAAATATTGAGATTGAACGGTCGAAGGTGAAGCAGTCAATTGCTAAACAAAAAGAAGAAGCAGAAAGATTAGACAAGGAAGAAGAGAGATATTGGATACAGTATAACGAGCATCACAAGCAACTCTTGGATTTTCAGGAGGAACAACAAAGGTTTGTAGATATAGTTTGGTTTGTTTGATGATCATCTAGTGTGCATCTAATGTAATTGTACCTAATTCGTAATAATATATGTTTCAGTGTTGATAATCAGCTTCATAATGCACAGATGCAATTAGATAAACTCAAAAAAACGAATGTCTTCAACAGTACCTTCAATATTTGGTAAGAAAATGTTCATCTCCCATTTTTAGTGAAGACAATCAAATACGAAATATAATGGACAGTTTCAATATGTATGATCAAATTTATCGAAGCCAATGTGATCATTTCAGGTACAAAGGACATTTTGGCACGATCAATAATTTCCGACTTGGGCGACTTCCTAGCGTACCAGTAAGTGCAGTACATGCTTCTAGTGTGTTTCATTGGGAGAGCAAATCTTGTGACAAGCTTGAAAGTTACTTTTCATTTCTTGATGATTTTGTTTTTCCTTAGGTTGAATGGACTGAAATAAATGCTGCTTGGGGACAGACTGTTCTTCTGCTGCATGCATTAGCAAGGAAAATGAATCTCAAGTTTAAAAAGTAAAAACCGCAGTTGTGTGATCACTTTGCATGGGTTATTCCTGACTGATTCCTGGTCAGTTTAGACCTTCATACATCAAATTGTTATTGTGTAGATATCGTCTGGTACCTTTTGGAAATCATTCATACCTGGAAAGTCTTGATGATAAATCTAAAGAATTACCTTTGTAAGTGTGTATGAGGTTTGTCATATTTTGTCTTTCATTCTAATTTTACTGTTTTTATTTCCAGATATGCATCTGGTGGTTTCCGTTTCTTTTGGGATACAAAGTGAGTACAAAGTTCTTCATTGCGTCCAAATATCTCCACTTCTGAAGTCTCAATTTTCTTTTTCTATTCCTAGGTTTGATCATGGCATGGTGGCATTTCTTGACTGTCTTCAGCAAGTAAGTTTCGTTCACAAGCACACAATATGCTGAATGATATTGATTTATTGATAATATTGATAATATTGATAATATTGATAATATTGATAATATTGATAATATTGATAATATTGATAATATTGATAATATTGATAATATTGATAATATATTGATTTAAATCTGAAGTGACCAGCTAACTATTTATAGTCAAGCTCTTGACAGGGAATTTTTCATTTCTTTCATTTTTCTAGTTCAAAGAGGAAGTTGAAAAAGTTGACAAACGTTTCTGTTTGCCATACAGGTAACAGACCAAACCACATTTTGCATGAACTTTTTTCAGTCAAACATAAAAATCTTTCAAGCAATCCATATTGACCAGACTTATTGCTTTTTTGCAAGTGTGTTGATCTATTTTTTTGACCTCATATAGAATGGATGATGGAAAAATATTTGACTCAAGTGGAACTGGTGGATCATACTCCATTAAGTAAGCATCATTTGAAATTTATTTTAAATCATGTCAACTTGTTCGCAATATCAGCAGTCCTTTAATATCGTATTAATACGATTAAATATAGAATCCAGTTCAACTCTGAAGAGCACTGGACTAAAGCTTTGAAATTTATGCTCACCAATCTCAAATGGGGCTTGGCCTGGTTGAACGCGCAATTTTCCGAGAAATAGTTCGGGTCGTTATCACGAATGCGTATGGTTGAATTAATTCGGTGCAGAATATGTACAGTGCATATATATATACGTGTAATTGGAGGAACATGTATAGAAATTATCCATATATAATATATATCAGAACACTGTTGTGATTAAGCAGCGATTAAACACGGGGAAAACTAGACCCGGCTGGGGTTTAATTATCTCAATATTCATTCGTGATTTGGTGAACAAAAGATACATTTATTTTCGTTTTCCAAATCGTTGATTGTTATAGTGAAGTATCAACAAATATTCCTAGTGATCCATAGTTGTACCCACGTATCCACAACTTTTAATCGGAATCGCTCTCTCTGGTATCATCGTAGTCCGGCCATTCGCTCCATGCTGACTCTGATGCTGGTAATCTAAAATGGATATTTGGAGGATTATGTACATCGACCCCTTGTTCATTGCACTGACGTGGGGTTTGAATATATGTGCCATGTTTGTGTTTATCACTTCTCCTACCCTTTCATCGGTATGCTTTCTTCATAATAACTTCCAGCTGTATTGATTAACTGTTGATTATCAGGAGGAATAGTGTCATCGTTTGGTGGATTTTCTGCGGTGTATTCTGCCTCTCTTGTCATAGCTCTTCTTCTCACGCGCCTGTTAAAGTTTCAGACTTTCAGTATGCAACAGTTTTACACGTTCTGGTAGCATGCATGCATTTTGGTGTAGCTACTATAAAATGGCGGTTAAAAACGGTTGTTCTTTTCAATAAAACACCTAAAATTCGCTTCACGTAAACGACAGGTCTTTGTGTCTCTAACATTACCTTTTACACACATAAATTGTAAGAGCGACAAACGTTAGAACTGGGATTCCAACGATCAAACCAGCCAGAGCATATGTCTTTATGTCAATCTTGTCTTAAAAGAAGAGAAAATTTTTAATCTGTTGTCCTACATTGTTGAAATGTCCTTGTTTTGGTCTGGAAATTTAGCAGGATTGTGTTCTCTAAGGAATTTTTACTTTTCTTTAAACAAAGCCTTCCTTCCTTGTGCTGTTCAAATCCTGTCTTGCAAATACATTTGTATCCTCCTTTTTGATTCACACACGTCGCAAACTTGTGACATTGGTTAGTTTCGTTGCCTTCACATTCGTTCTTGTCTATGGAAGAAGAACTGTTGGTAGATTTCACTCTCAATCAACACGGGAAAGCTAATATTCATGGATTAGTAAAGAATTGGATTCCACATCCTCCCTATTGATAAAGACTTTCACTAGACTATCTAGCAACAATCCGGTGGCACGAATGAGGTGATTTGATGTCCCTAGTTTTCTGCTGAACTATGTGGATTAACTAGTACTGAGCATGTTGAACTGACCTACACAGTCCACGCCATTCCCAACATAGCCTGTTTTACAAATACATTTGTAGGTGTACAACTCTATTTCGTTTATACACTGAGCATGTTTAGAACAGTTGTTCTTTTCACCGCAAGGGTTGAACACTGAAAAAAGACGGGAAGAATATGACATTAATGTAAGTTTGTGTGATGATCAGATCATAAACTGCATCATAGTACCTTCACATTCACCACTTTCTGACGCTCTTTTAAAACCAGGTTTGCAATGGCACTCATACGACGTCTTGCTTTTCACGCAAATCTCCTTTTCAGGATTACAAGGTACGTGCGGTGGTAAACAGGGGTCTAAAAAAAATGAAAATTCAAATAATTTCATTTGATAAACTTGATATTCGTCATAAACTTAGTTGTACTCTAAATTCTAATTGCAACGCCGTTGCGATAACATAAGCTCTCTCCCCGACCCCGAAATATGAAGAGTGAACTAACACGACACTGTTGTTGGCGTTGGTTTTGTAGTCATCAGTTGTATGGTCGATATATTGCGGCCCGATTTGTGCGCACTACGTTTCCTTATATTTTCCATATTCGAGGTATTTGCAGCAGTTTCTAGTCGTTTCTCTTCCAGTAATTCTACGATGTTCGTAGAACGAAGACCCTCTGGATCACCGCATTTAAGGGTCTCTAAATCTATTATACTGCTCCTGTCCCTAATTCTTTCCAAAGTGTCCAGTAACGTGGCGTTGCACACGAATGTATTATTTCCGAGTTTTCTACAAAAGATATTGTTCATAATCTCAGATTGTATGCATCTGTCAATGGTAAAGTGGAATGGTTTAACACTAACTGCAACAACATCGTTTAGCATCTAACTGCAATAACATTAACATAAAATGCATCAAGGCGCTTACATTCCTGCGAATTCTTTTGTAAGTACATCGTCGGGAATTCCTGACAAGTTCCGATTGCTACAATCCAAAATGTTAGTTTTGTGGTCAAGCTTGCATTCCAGTTGTAAACATTCGACTAGATTGATCGAGTTGTGCAAATATATCAAAAGAAATAAAAAAGGAAGAAGAACTGATTTCAAGAAAAAAATGTTCATTTCATGCTGCGTTTTTTTGTTAACTTTTGTCTGTCGACGCTGCGTATGATAATTTAGTGACGAAATAGGCGCATGCGTATTTCGTCACTTAATTAATCAGCTTTCGTGTTTAACAGCCGGGCTTCGGATTGTTCGAGACCATTTATTTCCATAACAAAGTCACAATAAAAATATCTGTAAAGTCGTGTTTTTAGCAAGTGAAGTACTTTGCTGTCAGCCCCTCTCTCACCCCGTTTCAAGGTCGTCGCGAAAAAAAAGGAAGTGCATGTAAAATTCCGCAAATATTTATTTCTCATTAAGAACTTCAATGTAGATAAGGAAAGTGCCTTTGTATTGCTGTATAGCTTCTCAATTGTACATTGTATAGTCATCGGTATAGCCTTGAGCGTATAAATCTTCATCATCTGACCATGTAGTCATAGTTGAGTCATTTGCAAGAATCCTGAACATAAGAAATATTTCAATATTTGATATAATTCAATCATACTGCATTGCATTTGCATTATAGTTGAGCCATGATCTCAGAACAGAGACTTATATAAGTAAACAGTATTTCCACACAACAATTGATCCTCTAACAGAGCTCTTAATTATTAATAAACCCTTTTGGTCTGGTATTCTATAGTTGTTGTGTGTTTATATTCCGATGAAATTATTATCAATGAAAAAACTTTGATTTTCCTCGCCTGTTTGTTCCTGGCATTGCAGTTTCATTATAATAAGCCATGTATTGCTCCTGTGGTTGTTGCATTCCGAGAAGATACATTTGTTGTTCAACTTGCTGTTGTTGTAGAAGAAATGGATCTGTCTCCATAGCTAAATTCAATAGATCTTGATTTGCCTGCATTTCTTGGTCGCTTATCAATTGATCTTTTGATTTCTTAGTTTTCCTGCAAAGTGTAATTTGGTTCATTAATTGCGTGATTGAGATTTGGAAAAGCAATGTTGGTAAAGTTATCCAGGGATGGAACTATAAAATCTGGAATGAAACGTCTCAAGGCAAGTAATTCTCTCCATTCTCAATTTCTAAATTGCATCAGATTGTTTGATCCCAATTACCATACATTGCATCTTAATGTACCGATGAATACCTAGTTTATTCCCAGTAATATCACTGCTCATTTCTAAGACCTCTACTATCTATCATCAGTCTCGCTTATTAGAAAGATTGATTGCCTTTTGCAAGAACCATTCAAATTGTAGTAGGAATCGTACCTTCGACGACAACAGCAGCAACAGCAACAACAGGTTGTAAATATGAGAAGAACGACTGCTCCCGGTACTCCATAATAAATGATCATATTTTTCAACTTCTTCTCTGATAAACAATAGAGAAATGTTTGGATGCAATGTTGCTTACTGGTGTTACAAGGCCTCCAAAACATGCAGAAACTTCTTAGGAAACATCACCTTCTTTAACACATAAATGTCCAGATTTGACGTATCCAGCGTTGCAAAAACATTTATAATCCCCTTCAGAGTTTACACAGACGGAATTGCTAGGACATCCATGGTCACCTCTTTCACATTCATCGATATCTATATTGAATTCAAACATGTTAAATTTTGAAAATGACTTTGTCAGCCACTGTAGGGGAAATATAAATATATGGACTATGTTCTGATACCTTCACACTTCTTGCCATCACCACTAAAACCAGCTTTACATATGCATTGATAGGAACCTATATTGTTGATACACAAAGCTTCTTCGGGGCATCTCTTCTCCGTCTCGCACTCGTTCACATCTAAAAAGGAAAAGAAGAAAGTAATCGCAGGCTGCTTCCCATCAGATTGGTTCCATCAACAGCTTACAAGAAAATGATTTCAATCGGAAAGCCCCCTAATATAAAAAGTAAGTTCATCATAACTATTTTTAGTCCCCATTTTTGCTTTTCCATTTTTTTACTCCTTCGCAAAAAACCTCCAAACAATGTTTCTTAATGGAATGTTTTATGGCATTTTAAGCTTGTCATATTCTCATATAGTTCTAAAGGTTTCCGTGTGCTAGCTGTAAGTAATGTAGTTCACCTGAGCAATTACTGTGTTTAGCATTCTTTTTAAAACCTTCTTTGCAAATGCATTTGTAACCCCTCTTCTCATTAGAGCAAACTTCCCTGATTTCGTCAGGACACGGGTGAAACAGTGCATCACACGGTTCTGGAACTGCGAGAAATTGTTATCATTCATAATTAACACTGCCACTGGTTTTTCGGTATAAACCCATCCAAAACACGACTGGCTCTGGGGTCGGTTGTACGAAAGCTAGATCGCGTTTTCCACCACGGATTCAGTGCGTTTTTTCAATAGGTCTCTCCAAATCTGGAGATTTCATTGCTTTTCAAGCACGTTTAAATTATTTGAAAAATCAGCGGATAGCATTAATTAGCATGCAGCATTCGTACAACCGGCTCCTGACTTTCTATACCAGAAACGTTTAGCATTTATATTTCTTGTTATGTTATCACGAACATGTAGAACTTTACCATCGCATTGATTTTTATTATTTATTTTCAATCCAGGTTTACACCGACATTCAAAAGAACCAATTGTATTAATGCAGTTCTCGCGGCCATTATCACAGATATGCCTGTGGGTTCCTAAGGTACACTCGTTCAAGTCTGAAGAAGAAAAAGATAAGAGATAAGGGTAAACTTATTTTAAAAATAATTTTCGTACAATTTTTTCATCATACAGTCGTACGTTCTACTATACCTTTGCAAATAGCCCCATTTCCTTTATACCCAGCTCTACAAGCACATTTATAAACATGAGTAGTGGCATTTTTGATACATTTTGCATACTGAGAGCACCTCAAACCTCGACATGGCAGCACTAGAGCGAAAGAAATCAACCATTGAAAACACGCCGTTTATGCAATCAATCCTCGACCGATCAACCGACTGACCTTTACCACAGATGTCTTGCTTTTTGATGGCTTTAACCAGGCTCCCCTTTAGTTTCTCTGGCATAGCACATGTCATTTGGTCTAAATCTGTGATGATGATATTACTGGGAAATCTTCTGTAAAGAGCGTCCAGGAACCACGCCATATCACAATCACAGACATACGGATTCCCGCTAAGATAGCTAGAAAATCAAGATATGGTTAAATGTAAAGAAAATTAAATTTTGCATCATGTTTTCGGCTGCTTCCTTATCCAGGGAACATGCATCGTTTTTTAAACAAGTTTTTCGGGTGTTTCTTAAGGCTGAAATCAACCAGAAACCGATGAAAATGTTTCCCTCCCGTTTATTGGCTTTACAAATGATCTATTCGTATATTCTTACTCACATTTTTTTCACGCTCAAATCAACGACTTCATTAGGAATATGTTTAAAATCTAAGTTTCTACAATCCACATTCCATTCTTTGTGAGTTCCAGCAGAAATCCTTTTACACTTTGCGAAAGCATCCAATATTGCATCGTTTTGACAAAATAAACACAAGTAAATAAAACAAAATAAATTTATCCATTTCGTACGGCGATTCATTTCGTCCCCCTTTAAATCATCTTCAAACTATTTTCACGCGTGACGTCATAGAAGCAATGCTAATTGCAATTATTCGCTAATTACTTCCAATCATTATAAGGACGTGTGCATGTACGGGCATTACGTTGGAAGTGCATTGGAATTGCGGCCAGATTTTTCCAATAGCAATGGCCACTTTGGTTTTATTACTAATCTTTATATACCTCAACTTGTCACATGAATATATATGTATTTTCGAAGTATTTTCTCTATTTGTCTAAGTATTTTCTCTAAGTATTTTCTTTAGGTTTTTTCTCTAAGTATCCCTTAGTATTTTATGTTTTCTCTAGTTTTTTTATTTTCTCTAGTTTTTTTTAAACTTTTTTAGTATTTTTTCTAAAAGGATTGAGATAAAATAAATAAATAAAAGCAGTCCTAAACATCAAGCGCTAGTGGTTTAGTGGTGAAGACAACGGTATTGTAAACCGTCAGACTATGGTCCGAAACGGAAATCGGGATGTTTTTTTATTATTTTGTTAATTGACTCAGAGACATGGGAATTGCATTTAAGTGTATTGTGTTTAATTATCTACGCATATGATGTATGCATGTGGTCATTCGTGCACTGTGTGGACTATTGCATGATGTCAAGAAAATTTTAAATGTCCTTAATTCACTTCATTCCTTGAAGAAATCGACCAGTTTTAGGTTGCAGTAAATGCAGTGAGTGAAAAAGAACACTTTACGTTTATAAAACATGCTTAAACGCTATTGGAAAACGAAAAAAAGCCAAATTCAGTGTTAGGAAACCTTACGCAGTCGCAGTAAACGAGTAATAATTCCACAATAACCGCATTGTCGAGCAATGTCATATATACTAAGCTGATGACTCTTGGATGCTTACAGATTTTTGGGACCCACTTTTTTGTTGGGTTTCGAGGGAGAATTTGGTGTTCTCGTGTTTATTTAGGGAATGGTTCGAATGCTAGACGGAATGTTTCTCATTAGCATCTTGAAAAAAAAGATTTAAGTAAAATAAAAAATACTATTTATTATTGAAACAGGAAATAGTCGCGAGGTAACGAGAGTTGCCTCGCACTTGGCAAGTTGGTGGTTCGAATCTTGCATGGGAAAAAATGTTTTCGTCACGACCCAAAAGAAAAAAAAAATTTATTGGGTTTCGAGAGAGATTTTCGTGTTACTGTTGGAAAGTTTTGGTAATTAGCTGCTTGAAAAAAGGGCTTAATTATATCCAAGGCTTGATGAAAAATTGATTAAAAGTTCACAAGTATACATACGATGTAAGCACGTGCATATGTTTTATAGGTACGCGTAATTTACTACATTTGCGACTTGTATGTACGCAGGCATATGATGTATGGACGTGCACGTTTTTGACGTTCGCCTACGTTCGCTATATATACACTATCCGCCGAAACGAAATTTTCAATTTTTTCACTTTGCTTTTTTTGAACAAACCTAAATGCTATTGCAAATGATTAAACGCAAATAGAATAGCAAAAAACGCCACGCAGTCGCAGTGAACTAATATAGTCATGCCTACGATCAGCACACTGAGCTATGTCACATATATACTAGACATTTTTAATTGGGTATCGGTGTGTTGTGTGCTCTTCTCTTCTGAGGGTTTTCGGTTGTCATCTTTCGCTTTCTTGACCCTTTTTTTTGTGGTCACTTCTCTCGGTGCTGCCTTCGGGCGGTATCGTTTGAGATCCTTCAGGATCTCTCTAAAACCTTCCTCTCTGCTACCTCAATTGGGGGCGCAGCGGGGGTTTGTTTTTCTCCCCCAATGCGCCCCCGGGTTGTGGTAGCAACCTCTTTTGTCTTCCTCTTTAATTCACGATCAGTCTAGATCTACTCAATATATGCAAATGACGTAATAATTTATGCTGAACCTAACACATGCGCAGTTCACGATGAGCTTCTCTCTCGATCTATTTAATATGGTGGTCAGTCAAGAAATGTTTTTGCTTGCAAAAAGATCGTAAAATGTTGGCGCTACAAACTCGGAAAAGGTATTGAAAATACTCCTGTCTCCTTGCTTTGTTATTTAGTGTAATCTTAAGCGAAAGAAAACGATATAAAGGTTATAATAGTTGTTTAATTTCGAATTCTAATAAGTCGAATTCATTTAACATATGGAAGGATCACAGCTGATTGCTTTTACTCATAATTTGGTTTACTGTGATGACTACCAGCTAGTAATGGACAAATATTGCGTGGAAATATGTGAACGATTAAAAACTATTAGTTTAATTTAAAATTCGTGTGTAGGGAATCCAACAAACCGAGCTTCGCATGTTCGCCTTTTATCATCTGATTACTTGCAATAACTTTTACAAATGAGTAAAACTTTTCAACTTTTGATATCTTATAGATTGTAAATGAGATCAGGATAACAAGGTATGTTTATTAATTTTAAAAATTGTGCATTAAAGATTGTCTGGCTAGAACTGAACAAGCATTGCTAAAGATGTATGGTGTTTATTAACTGCAGTCGGTATATATTGCATTTTTAGAAGGAAGTATCCAAACAAATTCAAAGATGACTAATTTTAACATGGTTCATAAGAAAGTCCTTCCTTGAAAACCTACCTCAGTCACTGGTCGGTGAGTTTCTTACTTCTTTTTCATTTGTATTATTATTGCAAATGAGCTTGATAGGTTATTGAATAATGAGTAACTTGTGTCGTGGTATTCCAGCATTTTACTGACTTGATTTGACTGCGCTCATAACTGTAAATGATGCAATAAACGGTCTCTATCATATAAACGTCTCAAACCATTCCCTTCAACATACGTTTGTATTAGGCATCTCTCTCTAATAAATGCCTCTCTTGAATCAAAACACCAGTAATGGTTAATGTGCCTAGCGTGGTTGTTTGTTTCACAGTGGTTGTCTGTTTCACAGTTTCACAATGGCAAATTTTTTGTTGTAAATGATAGAAGATAAATTTTCAAACAATGACCACAATTTCATTTCCCACAGATAATGTATATAGTAATAATTTCATGTCGGAACTCTAATTTTACAAAGAGTTACAAAATTGGGTTGTGGGACATAGTTACACCTCATTAGTAATTGCATCTTCAGAATCAACTGTTAGAAGACTGCATGGTATTCGTATCTTTTAAAAAAGTTGATTTTGGACATGGAATTTCCCTCTTCATCCCCCCACCCATCTCTCTCTCTCTTTCAGTCTGATGGCGATTAATATGGAATCTCATGAACGGTTGTTTATCACTGAAGCTAAAGAATTGAGATACAACAATCTTTGACTGACTTTAGGTGTAAGACGTTCGTCCAGCTATTGTAGACCGCATGGAATCGATTCAAGTCCTTTAAAAATTTGTGAATCAAGATGAGAATGAACTTAGTGAATCTGTAATTGCTGCTATATGTTTTGGCTAAAATATAAAAAAAACTGTTGTATGTCTCCAAAACAAATGAGCTTATATTTATAATACCAAAAAGTACAGGATTGTTTGACATCAGAAATACAAAGAATTCGGCACACAGCGACAATTCACCTTTTAAAACGAAACCAAAAAACTAGAAGCAAAAAACAAATTGTGCTTCAAAACAAAACTAGAATGCGCTGCTTTTAAAAGGTTGAAATATAGGAAAGGACAACTTTTTTCTAGGCGTTTAGTGATTCGTTTATAGTAACATCGCTCACGATGATGTTCGGAGTTGATCGGCATGTTGTCGTACATTATCATACCACGTGATCTGCTATGATCACATGGTAATTATTGCCTATAAAAATAATCTCAACGTTAAAAAAAAATTTCTTCGAATAGGTGGCGATCGAAGGTGGACAGCAAGATCGAAGCTCAGCAAGATTGAAGATTGTTCGAGGAAGAAGGAGTTCGCCGTTGACTAAAAGGTGGGTTCCGGCGATTATATGCGTAATCTGCGGTTGCTTTGTCCGACCCCAGTAGGGGGACCGTTTGCCTAGAGCGTTTTGGTCCCCCGCACGCTGCTAGTTCCCACTTGTAGGCCTTTACACTAATCTACGGGAAGGCCGTAGGCCTTCCTTAAGGAGTACAGTGTAGCTGAGCCGAACCCTTTTTTTTCGTTGTATATAGGTTTATCTGAACAGCTAGTTGTCAAGATGAATGTGAAGACTCGCCCGGCCAAATTCAAAATGGCGATGCCAAAGAAAACCATCCACGTGGAGCGTTCGCGGACCTTTCTGAGCAAGATTGTTGTGCTGTCTGGTCAAAGTTAGGTATTTTACTTTGATGTTTGTGTGCCTTCTGCTAATTGTCGGCCAGAAATAACAAAAAGCCATATACAATATGAAATATTCTGCGTACAAGGTTATCTAAAGTTTCGAGCTTAATTCTGCCTGCAATGATGATAATTTTTTACTGAAAATTTATGTCATGAGCAACTTCCGCACCCATAGACTGAAGCAGAACTGAACATTTTGTCATTAACGTTTATCTCAACAGCCAGTTATCAAGACGAACGTCAAGAGAACAGTTGAAATAGAAAATAGAAATCAGTTCAAGACTCGCCCGGCCGCCGAATTCAAAATGGCGATCCCATACACGTGGACCGTTCGCGGACCTTTCTGAGCAAGATTGTTGTGCTGTCTGGTCAAAGTTAGGTATTTTACTTTGATGTTTGTGTGCCTTCTGCTAATTGTTGGCCAGAAATAACAAAAAGCCATATACAATATGAAATATTCTGCGTACAAGGTTATCTAAAGTTTCGAGCTTAATTCTGCCTGCAATGATGATAATTTTTTACTGAAAATTTATGTCATGAGCAATTTCCGCACCCATAGACTGAAGCAGAACTGAACATTTTGTCATTAACGTTTATCTCAACAGCCAGTTATCAAGACGTACGTCAAGAGAACAGTTGAAATAGAAAATAGAAATCAGTTCAAGACTCGCCCGGCCGAATTCAAAATGGCGATGCCAAGAAAAGTATACACGTGGACCGTTCGCGGACCTTTCTGAGCAAGATTGTTGTGCTGTCTGGTCAAAGTTAAGTATTTTACTTTACTGTTTGTGTGCCTTCTGCTAAAACTAGACAATAATTAAGGTAGTTGAAAATGCAATTTTATATTAATAATGTTTCTTATATTAAAGATTTTCCTTGGTCAACATTGGAAGTGAAGAAGATTTCTGCGCAAAGGTAATTCGATTGTTTCTTCAAAATTTATATTAGCCTTGCAGCTGAAATTCTTGTCACTACCTTGTAATACATATCAACTGCCCGGGTATATATTTTGTTATTTCGGTAGTATAAGAGGGAATTTGCTGCAACTAGGATCTTTTTTTGGAAAATTGTCAGGCAGTCACAAATTTTGTCAAGATTACTAAGTTAACATTGCTTCTATGCTCACTATGTGTCACCAGTAATAAATTCCTGTGGTGGTCTTTAAATAAATATAGCAACCATAGTTATATGTAGAGGGATGAAGTAACCATTGATTACCTGACCAAAAACTAGACAATAATTCAGATAGTTGAAAATGGAATTTTATATTAATCATGTCTTCTTATTCAAGATTTTCTTGGTCAAGAGTGCAACATGAGCGGTTGATATGAACTTTACTGTCAGATCAACATTGGAAGTGAACAAGATTTCTGCACAGAGGTAATTCGATTGTTCCTTCAAAATTTATATTAGCCTTGCAGCTGAAATTCTTGTAGTGACTTTGTAATACATATCAACTGCCCAGGTATATTTTGTTATTTAGTATAAGGGGGAATTTGCTGCAATTAGGATCTTTTTCATGAAAATTGTCAGGCAGTCACAATTTTGTTAAGATTACTAAGTGAACTTTGCTTCTATGCTCCCTATGTGTCACCAATGATATATTCCTGTGGTGGGCTTTGAATAAATATAGCAACCATGTATATATAGAGGAATGAAGTAACCATAGAATGGCTGACCAAAAACTAGACAATAATTAAGATAGTTGAAAATGGAATTTTATATTAATCATGTCTTCTTATATTCAAGATTTCCCTTGGTCAAAGAGTGCAACATGAGCTGTTGTGGATATTAACTTTACTGCCAGATGAACATTGGAAGTGAACAAGATTTCTGCACAGAGGTAATTCGATTGTTCCTTCAAAATTTATATTAGCCTTGTAGCTGAAATTCTTGTCACTACCTTGTAATACATATCAACTGCCTGGGTATATATTTTGTTATTTCAGTAGTATAAGAGGGAATTTGCTGCAACTAGGATCTTTTTCATGAAAATTGTCAGTGCAGTCACAATTTGGTTAAGATTACTAAGTGAATTTTGCTTCTATACTCACTATGTGTCACCAGTAATAAATTCCTGTGGTGGTCTTGAAATAAATATAGCAACCATAGTTAATTATAGAGGGATGAAGTAACCATAGATTACCTGACCAAAAACTAGACACTGATTAAGATAGTTGAAAATGGAATTTTATATTAATAATGTCTTCTTATATTCAAGATTTTCCTTGGTCAAAGAGTGCAACATTTGCTGCTGTGGATATTAACTTTACTGCCAGATGAACATTGGAAGTGAACAAGATTTCTGCACAGAGGTAATTCGATTGTTCCTTCAAAATTTATATTAGCCTTGCAGCTGAAATTCTTGTAATGACCTTGTAATACATATCAACTGCCCAAATATATATTTTGTTAAGATTGCTAAGTGAACTTTACTTCTATGCTCCCTATGTGTCACCAATGATAAATTCCTGTGGTGGGCTTTAAATAAATATAGCAACCATATATATAGAGGGATGAAGTAACCATAGAATGGCTGACCAAAAACTAGACAATAATTAAGATAGTTAAAAATGGAATTTTATATTAATCATGTCTTCTTATATTCAAGATTTTCCTTGGTCAGTGAGTGCAACATGAGCTGTGGATGTGAACTTTACTAGATGTACATTGATTGGAAAGTGAACAAGATATCTGCACTGAGGTAATTTGATTTTGTCATGGATGGTCAGCATTTGATTTTAAAAAGCCACTACATTGTTGAGATGACAACAATGAAATTGAAATTTGCTTCTATGGTCACCATGTGAAACTAATGATGAAACTTAATGCTATAACAGCTGAACCAGTCTGGCTGATTACTAAAATTCCTGTGGTGGTCTTACAATAAATATCCATGAAAAAGACCGGCAATTACTATTTTAAACTTGGGAGAAATTTTTCTGATTTCCATGTGATTTATAGAAAGTTGAAAGGCACCCCAGAAGAACCTGAATTATTTTAGCCCTATCCTAGATTCATTGATTAATATATTTTAGTGTGTTATAACATGTGTGAAATGTGATCAATTATGTGACAATTTCAAAACTTGGATTTATAAAGAGAAATTTTTCTTTGTAAAGTTTAAGAAGTAAACCTTTTTTGTCTGGTGGTGTTAGTGTTTTGATTTTGCATGTTTTTCCCTGTGCTTTCACAATTGAAAATATTTTGGCAGTTGCTTTGGTTTTGTCTCATATTTTTTCTCTTATATTTTTTTCTCTAATTTTTCTCTTGTCTTATAATTTTGTCTGTAATTTTTTTTAATGTTTTTCTCTAAGTATTTTCTAAATGTTTTTTGAAAAGTTTAAGAAGAAACTTTATTTTTGTCTCATGTTGTTTGTTGTTTCGAGTTTGCATGTTTTTTCGTGTGCTTTCACAATTGAAAAGATTTTGGCAGTTGCTTTTGGCTTTTTCTCATACTTCTTTTCGCTTTAATTTCTTCTTAGTATTAGTATTTTTTCTAAATATATTTTCTCTTATTATTTTTTTGATGAAATTCTTTTTTTTCTTTAGTGTTGAAGAAAGTTGAAAGGCACCCAGATTCATTAATTAATATATTTTAGTGTGAAATGTGATGAATTATGTGACAATTTTCAAAACTTGGATTTATAAATCTTTTTTCTTTGTAAATTTTAAGAAATAAACCTTTTTCGTCTGATGGTGTTAGTGTTTTTATTTTGCAAGTTCTGTGTGACTTGACAATTCTAAATTAAACCTCTTAGTATTTTTTAGTATTTTTTCTAAGTTAAACCTGTTAGTATTTTCTTCTATTTCTCTAGTTTCTCTTGTCTTTTATTCTCTAGTGTTTTTTCCCTAGTTTTTTTTCTATTTTTCTTTTTTCTAGTTTTTTTTTTCTCTAGTTTTTTTTCTATTTTTCTACTTAGTTGTTTTCTGTAGTTTTTTTTTCTCTATTTTTTTTTCTATTAAAACTAGTCTAGTTTTTTCTTCTATTTCCCTAGTTACTTAGCTTCTTTAATAGAAAAAACACTAGAAAAAAAACTAGAGAATAAAAAAACTAGACTAGAGAAAAAAACTAAGTAGAAAAATAGAAAAAAAACTAGAGAAATAGAACAAAAAACTAGAGAAAAAAGCTAACTAGAAAAAAAAACTAGAGAAAACAACTAAGTAGAAAAATAGAAAAAAAACTAGAGAAAAAAAAACTAGAAAAAAGAACTAGAGAATAAAAGACAAGAGAAAATAGAAAAAAACTAGGGAAATAGAAGAAAAATCTAGACTAGTTTTAATAGAAAAAAAATAGAGAAAAAAAACTAGAGAATAAAAGACAAGAGAAAATAGAAAAAAGCTAGAGAAATAGAAGAAAAAACTAGACTAGAGAAAAAGACTAAGTAAAAAAATAGAAAAAAAACTAGAGAAATAGAAGAAAAAACTAGAGAAAAACTAAACTAACTAGAAAAAAAAACTAGAGAATAAATGACAAGAGAAAATAGAAAAAAACTAGAGAAATAGAAGAAAATAGAAGAAAAAACTAGACTAGTAAAAAAAACTAAGTAAAAAAGTAGAAAAAAAAACTAGAGGAATAGAAAAATAAAACTGGAGAAAAAAACTAACTAGAGAAAAAAACTAAGTAGAAAAATAGAAAAAAAACTAGAGAAAAAAAACACTAGAGAATAAAAGACAAGAGAAACTAGAGAAATAGAAGAAAATACTAACAGCTTTAACTTAGAAAAAATACTAAAAAATATTAAGAGGTTTAATTTAGAATTGTCAAGTCACACAGAAGAACTTGCAAAATAAAAACACTAACACCATCAGACGAAAAAGGTTTATTTCTTAAAATTTACAAAGAAAAAAGATTTATAAATCCAAGTTTTGAAAATTGTCACATAATTCATCACATTTCACACTAAAATATATTAATTAATGAATCTGGGTGCCTTTCAACTTTCTTCAACACTAAAGAAAAAAAAGAATTTCATGAAAAAAATAATAAGAGAAAATATATTTAGAAAAAATACTAATACTAAGAAGAAATTAAAGAGAAAAGAAGTATGAGAAAAAGCCAAAAGCAACTGCCAAAATCTTTTCAATTGTGAAAGCACACAAAAAAACATGCAAACTCGAAACAACAAACAACATGAGACAAAAATAAAGTTTCTTCTTAAACTTTTCAAAAAACATTTAGAAAATACTTAGAGAAAAACATTAAAAAAAATTACAGACAAAAATTATAAGACAAGAGAAAAATTAGAGAAAAAAATATAAGAGAAAAAAATATGAGACAAAACCAAAGCAACTGCCAAAATATTTTCAATTGTGAAAGCACAGGGAAAAACATGCAAAATCAAAACACTAACACCACCCAGACAAAAAAGGTTTACTTCTTAAACTTTACAAAGAAAAATTTCTCTTTATAAATCCAAGTTTTGAAATTGTCACATAATTGATCACATTTCACACATGTTATAACACACTAAAATATATTAATCAATGAATCTAGGATAGGGCTAAAATAATTCAGGTTCTTCTGGGGTGCCTTTCAACTTTCTATAAATCACATGGAAATCAGAAAAATTTCTCCCAAGTTTAAAATAGTAATTGCCGGTCTTTTTCATGGATATTTATTGTAAGACCACCACAGGAATTTTAGTAATCAGCCAGACTGGTTCAGCTGTTATAGCATTAAGTTTCATCATTAGTTTCACATGGTGACCATAGAAGCAAATTTCAATTTCATTGTTGTCATCTCAACAATGTAGTGGCTTTTTAAAATCAAATGCTGACCATCCATGACAAAATCAAATTACCTCAGTGCAGATATCTTGTTCACTTTCCAATCAATGTACATCTAGTAAAGTTCACATCCACAGCTCATATTGCACTCATTGACCAAGGAAAATCTTGAATATAAGAAGACATGATTAATATAAAATTCCATTTTTAACTATCTTAATTATTGTCTAGTTTTTGGTCAGCCATTCTATGGTTACTTCATCCCTCTATATATATGGTTGCTATATTTATTTAAAGCCCACCACAGGAATTTATCATTGGTGACACATAGGGAGCATAGAAGTAAAGTTCACTTAGCAATCTTAACAAAATATATATTTGGGCAGTTGATATGTATTACAAGGTCATTACAAGAATTTCAGCTGCAAGGCTAATATAAATTTTGAAGGAACAATCGAATTACCTCTGTGCAGAAATCTTGTTCACTTCCAATGTTGATCTGACAGTAAAGTTCATATCAACCGCTCATGTTGCACTCTTGACCAAGAAAAATCTTGAATATAAGAAGACATGATTAATATAAAATTCCATTTTCAACTATCTGAATTATTGTCTAGTTTTTGGTCAGGTAATCAATGGTTACTTCATCCCTCTACATATAACTATGGTTGCTATATTTATTTAAAGACCACCACAGGAATTTATTACTGGTGACACATAGTGAGCATAGAAGCAATGTTAACTTAGTAATCTTGACAAAATTTGTGACTGCCTGACAATTTTCCAAAAAAAGATCCTAGTTGCAGCAAATTCCCTCTTATACTACCGAAATAACAAAATATATACCCGGGCAGTTGATATGTATTACAAGGTAGTGACAAGAATTTCAGCTGCAAGGCTAATATAAATTTTGAAGAAACAATCGAATTACCTTTGCGCAGAAATCTTCTTCACTTCCAATGTTGACCAAGGAAAATCTTTAATATAAGAAGACATTATTAATATAAAATTGCATTTTCAACTACCTTAATTATTGTCTAGTTTTAGCAGAAGGCACACAAACAGTAAAGTAAAATACTTAACTTTGACCAGACAGCACAACAATCTTGCTCAGAAAGGTCCGCGAACGGTCCACGTGTATACTTTTCTTGGCATCGCCATTTTGAATTCGGCCGGGCGAGTCTTGAACTGATTTCTATTTTCTATTTCAACTGTTCTCTTGACGTACGTCTTGATAACTGGCTGTTGAGATAAACGTTAATGACAAAATGTTCAGTTCTGCTTCAGTCTATGGGTGCGGAAATTGCTCATGACATAAATTTTCAGTAAAAAATTATCATCATTGCAGGCAGAATTAAGCTCGAAACTTTAGATAACCTTGTACGCAGAATATTTCATATTGTATATGGCTTTTTGTTATTTCTGGCCAACAATTAGCAGAAGGCACACAAACATCAAAGTAAAATACCTAACTTTGACCAGACAGCACAACAATCTTGCTCAGAAAGGTCCGCGAACGGTCCACGTGTATGGGATCGCCATTTTGAATTCGGCGGCCGGGCGAGTCTTGAACTGATTTCTATTTTCTATTTCAACTGTTCTCTTGACGTTCGTCTTGATAACTGGCAGTTGAGATAAACGTTAATGACAAAATGTTCAGTTCTGCTTCAGTCTATGGGTGCGGAAGTTGCTCATGACATAAATTTTCAGTAAAAAATTATCATCATTGCAGGCAGAATTAAGCTCGAAACTTTAGATAACCTTGTACGCAGAATATTTCATATTGTATATGGCTTTTTGTTATTTCTGGCCGACAATTAGCAGAAGGCACACAAACATCAAAGTAAAATACCTAACTTTGACCAGACAGCACAACAATCTTGCTCAGAAAGGTCCGCGAACGCTCCACGTGGATGGTTTTCTTTGGCATCGCCATTTTGAATTTGGCCGGGCGAGTCTTCACATTCATCTTGACAACTAGCTGTTCAGATAAACCTATATACAACGAAAAAAAAGGGTTCGGCTCAGCTACACTGTACTCCTTAAGGAAGGCCTACGGCCTTCCCGTAGATTAGTGTAAAGGCCTACAAGTGGGAACTAGCAGCGTGCGGGGGACCAAAACGCTCTAGGCAAACGGTCCCCCTACTGGGGTCGGACAAAGCAACCGCAGATTACGCATATAATCGCCGGAACCCACCTTTTAGTCAACGGCGAACTCCTTCTTCCTCGAACAATCTTCAATCTTGCTGAGCTTCGATCTTGCTGTCCACCTTCGATCGCCACCTATTCGAAGAAATTTTTTTTTAACGTTGAGATTATTTTTATAGGCAATAATTACCATGTGATCATAGCAGATCACGTGGTATGATAATGTACGACAACATGCCGATCAACATGCCGATCGAACATCATCGTGAGCGATGTTACTATAAACGAATCACTAAACGCCTAGAAAAAAGTTGTCCTTTCCTATATTTCAACCTTTTAAAAGCAGTGCATTCTAGTTTTGTTTTGAAGCACAATTTGTTTTTTGCTTCTAGTTTTTTGGTTTCGTTTTAAAAGGTGAATTGTCGCTGTGTGCCGAATTCTTTGTATTTCTGATGTCAAACAATCCTGTACTTTTTGGTATCATATTATATATAAGCTTCTTTGTTTTGGAGACATACAACAGTTTTTTTTATATTTTAGCCAAAACATATAGCAGCAATTACAGATTCACTAAGTTCATTCTCATCTTGATTCACAAATTTTTAAAGGACTTGAATCGATTCCATGCGGTCTACAATAGCTGGGCGAACGTCTTACACCTAAAGTCAGTCAAAGATTGCTGTATCTCAATTCTTTAGCTTCAGTGATAAACAACATGAAGAAAAACATCACTTAATCACAGAAAACAACACAGATCAGTATACCATGAGAAACATTAAAAGGCCTTTATCGGATCTGTTATAATAATTACCTTGGCAAACATTTTGCAAGAAAACTCTCACAAAGTCCAGTTAACTGATAACAATAAATGACATCGTTGGCAGTTCCTTGGCTAGCAATAATAGAACAAAATTATTAGGACTCCATATTCTGGATGGCGTTGGCCTTGCAACCACCCCTTACCATTTTGGTCAATTTTGACGACTTTTTGAATTGTTCAAAAACTGTCTTAAAATGCTAAAAATGGCTTCCTAAAGGCGGATTTCCACTTACAGCGAAATCGTTCGCTAGCGAAATATTTGCATATTTTCTTTTGAATTGAGAACAGTCAAGTCGAACTAATTTATTTATACTGCTAAAATTCAAAAGAAAATATGCAAATATTTCGCTAGCGAACGATTTCGCTGTAAGTGGAAATCCGCCTTAAAACGCACTTATACGGAGAAGAGCGCTAAATTTCTACCGAGCAGATTAGTTTTCACGTAACATCGATGCATAATTTTACACGGAGAAGACGTGAGCCATCGTACTATTGCTTACCTTTTCAAACTATTGAATAAACTATTTTATCATTCTTTCCGCTCACCAATTTCTCATTAAGGAGCAAGGAACACACATAAACAAAACGGGACATGCACAAGTTTTATCAGAGCGGAAATGACCTTGGATTTGTGCTAGTTATATCATTTTATAAATATTGGGCGCACTTAATATAAACCGTATCGAATATCAAAACCTTTACCAGACAGGAATTTCAAACAACAGCTCGTCTGAGCGTGATATACCATCATGTCGAACAAGGTAGACAATGAATATATATTCAGAGCCATTCACATCGGCGACATGGCAGAATTCACAGACATACTGGAACGTCATCCAACGCTGAATATCAACATTCAAAACGACGAAGGTGAATCGCTATTGATCCATTGCGTAAAGCGTTCGGGAACGAAATGGACACCAGTTATCGGGGGCGAATTTCGCGCAATATGCAAAATTTTGATCAAGCGCAATATTGACGTTAATCTACGCGACGCATCGGGCAAAACTGCTGCGAATTACGCGGCAGAGCTGCAGCAGTTGGAAATTTTAAGGCTGTTGATACAACACGGAGCGCAACTCGATAGCGCAGTGTTGGACCGCGTCATTGACAAGGAAGACTGGATACTAGTTATCTGCGCGTCATTCGCCAAAGAGTCAGGACAAGGAAACGAACATGTGAATGGTGATCAAATGTATGGAAGCACAATGGTTAGTTCACCTGTAACACAGACAGTACTCCGAGATAACTCTACCTAATTACTACGGCTACTTGTATATATTACAATATTAGTTTACAAACTAATATACTATTATAAAGAGGTCGGTGTTATACTAAACTTCCTTATATTCCTCCCTGCAATTTTCGTCTTTTCATGAATGCAAACGAGTAGATATTAGGTAGGTATTAACTGTTAAGTCAGGTACAGGTTGGATGCAGGGAACCATATATCAGAGCGTTGTCGGCAATTCAGTCAACTTTGCCGAAAACTCCACATAGAAATCCGAGACACCCAACCATAATTCAGGTTGAGCCCTGGGAAACAACTTGCTCGAAACAACTCATTTATATTCCATCTGATTTACAGATGAAAAAAGGAGAAACGGTTAAATTGAAACTCTTTCATCGACTGTTATCTTCCAACTATCTTTCAAGCATCCGATGGCTGTGCGAACTATTTCCGGAGATTATCGAGAAGAGAAACGAAGATTCTTTAACAGCGCTGCATATTGTGGTTACAGAAAACAACATTGATGCATTGAAGATTTTGTTGGAGTTCAAAACAGATCTTGAAACGGTTGATAACAACGGCCATACTGCCTTGCATTTTGCTGTTGGTAAGTTTTGTTTCAACTGGATAATAAGAGTTACCCCGCATGGGGTGTATCGCATGTTACTGGGCAACTATGTTCACTGTGGGAAATTCTTCAAAGATTACGTAGCATGTTATCATGTATTTAGCATAATTCGCGTCTCGATATATTGCTGATTTTTCCGGCTAAGGCACAAACAGTCACTTGGCACAAATGACACAAGCATTGATACTGATATACCATATATGTTAAGAGATGTGTCGAAGATATAAAAAGACGCTTCCATTATTATGTCGGTGTTTATTTCGAAACTACTACTTCAAACTAATTTACAAAATATGTTTACACATCTTTCTCATAGCCGAGAGACTTGTAGATAGTCCAAAATTCGACACTTAAAAAACCCACAATTAAAACGTGCAATCCTAAATTCAATCTTAATCTTAGTCCTAAATTCAATCTTAATCTTAATCCTAAATTCAATCTTAATCTTAATCCTAAATTCAATCTTAGTATTCTATTCAGTCTTAGTATATAACAGTGAATACAACTGACTAGTCAACTCGCAAACTGGGCACCACCCCTCTGGTGACATCAGGGGGGGACAGCCTGTGCGCAGACCATTATCTGTGCCATCATCTGACACAACATTCATATACGGAGGTCATTTGAACGCGCTTGCAAAACGGTTCATCCACGTGAGTAATTTGGTTGGATTCTTTCCGGTAATTTCCTTAAAATGCTCATCCCCTCCGAACGCTTGAGCCTCCCCAGAATCGATTGTCTGATAAAACTCCAACAGCCCTTCGATAAACAGCTCCGGTACACCAGCATTTTGCAGACTTTGTCTTGTTTCCTCGTAGGACATTCTCACGTATGTAATCTCCCTGCTCAGCGCACGCGTCAGAGCCGCCGACACTTGCTCGAAGGTGTTCCGATCGCTGACGAGCGTGTAGATCTTTCCAGCGTGCTTCTCGGGCGAGGCCAAAACGACGGCGGCTGCCGAGCCCGCATCGTCCATGCATACGACTTGAAACTCTTTCCCGCCGTCGACAGGGGCGTGAAACATTAAGTCTGCTTTTATGCTGTCCTTATATTTGAAATAACTTTCCATAAACCACGGTAAACGTAAGATAACGAAAGGCACTTCGAGGCTTGTAACAGCCTGTTCGACTTCGCATAGCTGTTTTCCCAAAATCGTGTCCGGTTTTTCGGCTGTCGTACCGCTGATAACGACAATATAATCCACCCCAGCGCTTTTGGCTGCCTCTGCGGTTTTTCCAACCAACTCCGCGCGATTTCCTGTGCCTGGTGTCACAATCAACAAAGCCTTAACCCCTTTGAATAATCCCAAAAGCGCTTCGCACTGACCCATCTCGGCTTTTACAACGGTAACTCCAGTGAGATGCTTGAAATCTGAAACAGACTCTGGTCGTCTCACACCAGCTCGGATGTCTAACTTTCGTCCGAAATTAATAGAGAGTGCATTTATCGTGGCTTTGCCGACATTCCCACTGCTTCCAATCACAAATACTATCGGTTTAGACTGGCTTCCACCGGCTGTAGGCATATGTCGGGCGCTAAATACGTACGACATTTTTGTAGAAATACTTGCGTGTGTTCTGTTACAAACAAATCGTTCTGATAGTCATGGTTCGTGATTACTCAATGGTCTCATGTCTCAAATCAGTGTGTTTATGGAAATGACTCAGCGATTGTGAAGTGGTAATTAAAGTTGAAAAACAAACGCTCTTATATGGAGATTACTTTTTATATGATAATTTTGTTTTCATACTAAGAACTCAATTCAAACATTGCCCAAATATATTTACAGAATATTCTGGGATATTCTTATCAACTTAGCAGAACTGCGTCAGTTACGATATTGTTTTTATTGATACATGCTGTGATATTGACCCATATTATATTAGGCGTGTGTCTAATTTAAACGAGACAGCTGTGTTTCAATTTGTTTCAGTAGATATGAAGTTAGTAATTAGACCAACAAATTACCGAAAGATACATAAAAAATTCAATGTATTGAGAACTAAATTTTTTAATTCCTGCTATTGAGAACTAAATTTTGGCCCAAGAAAGATCATGGAATGCGACACAACAACTAGAAGGAACCAGTGGAAGGAACATCTTAGAAATAAGTATAGCCAAAGTTTAACTGCAAAACGTTATAAAATGTAAAAAATAACGCTGTTAAATTCCCAAAATTTGTACATTTCTAAGTACATTTTCATAGGCGAAATCAAAGACATCAATTTTTCCTGCAATCTGTTGCCATCACGTATTTTAGTCCAAGTGGATATGTTACGACCTTAATTCCATTTAGACTATGGTCATACGGACTGTGTGCTGACCCTCCTCAATAGTGGTTCACTGGTCAACTGTCAGGACGTTTCAGGTGCAACACCGCTGCACTATGCTATCAATGCGGGCTCACAAGATGATGACGTCATAATCAAGCAACTGCTAAAGTTTGGCGCGTCTACGTCGTTGGCTGATCGAAACGGTCGCTTGCCGCTTCATTGGGCAGCTAATTACGGTAGGTAAACCCTGGGTAGCCCATTCATTGATTTGCCAGAAGTGTGTCCAAACCAGTGGTCCAGAACTATATTGCGGTCTGTGACAATCAGCGTCCATGCCACCGAGCTATATAATAATCCCAGCGCAAACAAAAGACAGCAAGTATGAAAGCAGTTGTACGTAATTTGAAACTGGACTATGCGAACTAGGATTGGGAACTGGCGCTTGGTAATTTACAGTTTTAAAAGAATACAACAGAGGTCTCACTTCTTCAGGGAACCCAACTGTATGTGTATCAATGGTTGAAAATGGATCTCCCGTGAACTCGAGGTGCAATGATGGACACACAGGTACAATATAGCCCAGCCTTAAAAATATCTTTTGCTAACTCTATAGAAAGAGTGGTTTGGAATCGACAAAGTTACCCAGTATATAAACAATAGTTTTGGTTCAATTCTTGGTTTCAATCCAGGTTTCCCCACAAATCCAGAAGTACTTAACTTTTCATTTGCCTTCTTCAGCTCTGCACATTGCCGCGAGTCATGGCCACGAGGAATGTATCCGAGTTCTGATCACGAAATGCGGGGCAGATATGAACATCGAGGACAAATATGGATACACGCCGTTATTTAATGCCATCATCACAAGACATGTTCAGTGTGCAAAACTTTTATTGCAACATAAGGCTTTGCCAAACCACAGAGACGCAAAGGGCAATAGGTAAACAAACACAAATATCTTAAGACTGAAAAGTTGACAACAGCCATTTTTTTACTATGATCCAGTGGTTTTTTATTGTTATAATTTTGCCTTGCACGTGTAAAACGGCCTTTAACAAAAACTTGACAACCGACTTGGAATAAAACAAGAGCTGTAGAAAAACGTACCCTCAGGGGACACGAATTTTGATCCATACTGCAAATAGATCGTGACAAAAATATGAAGGCGAGCATATTTAATAGAATTCGTTCAACACATAAAGAATAGAGCTCCAGTCAGATGACTTGTAAATTTAATGTAACTACGTTTTCTATCTCCTTTGCAATAGATTACATAAATTATTTAAGAAAATCTCCAGAGCAAAGATCATTTTGAGAAAGGTCTTCATATAGCTTGGAATCACCATTGAAGAAGTTGTCTGCCTTCTTGCAATTCTTCACAAAACCTTTGCCTGCAATCAAAAAGCTCACTCACACTCACTCAGTGTGACATATAAATTTTGTTATTATTTATTGAAAATGAGTCAAGAGTTTTGATTGGCCAGCAGCTGTTGGCGAAATCGTCATATCCGCTCGGCAGCTGCCCAAATTTGGACAGTGACGTCACTTCGTCGGATATGAAAAAAATTATTGCACGTTTGACGTCACTTCGTCAGATATGAAAAAAATTATTGCACGGTATGACGTCACGCTAATTTATGCGGCTTGTGCCAAAACCTAAAAGCGGGAAAATACGAATGGCTTCATCAAAGGAAAGGTTCAATTTTTGCAAATAAATAATAAAACAATTATTGAATTCGGTTCTCGCAGGATATGAGGAATTATCAAGGCCTCGGTTTGTGTTATCCGCCTCAGCCTTCGGCTTCGGCAGATAACACAAACCTCGGCCTTAATAATTCCTCATATCCTGCTCAACCTCATTCAATAATTGTTTATTATTAGTGATCAATGAGAAAGATTATTTCTTAATCAATGCAAAGATTAGGGGATGGTAAGGTAAAATACAAAAAATCAATCCTTCATTCGCGTGAAAATACCGCCATGAAAACGTTATGAGAACATTGCAATCCCCCCAACTCAATTAGCTTGAGTGGTGTGACTGAGCTTTTAGAATCCAGGCGCTAATCTTGTGTCACAAAATGTCAGAAACTGAGTATTCACTTCAATAGCTTTGATAGCTGACTGAAAACAGTCTGGCAACTGTTTTAAAAACATCTTAAGAACGACGAGTTGTAATCGTGTGACGTTTCTAAGCTCATTTTATATGTTCTCCAACAGTGCAGCGCACCTAGCCTCATCTAAAGGACTAATTGAGGTATTACAGGAGCTTGTTCACCACCAGGGTTCGCTTGAACACAGAAACAACGCCGGCGACCTCCCGTTACACGAGGCTGCCTTGTTTCAACGATTAGGTAAGTCCATGGAAACTTCAAGTACTACTGATGGTTTTTCAGAAATTATGTCCTGATATCTGATTCCTTGTGTGTGTGTCTGTAATTCAAGTCAGTTAACGAGATAACTTGATGAATAGAAGCGAATGAAGATTCTGGTCGGCAAAAATTCCGAGTTCTTCATAGTTGATAATCTGCTTTGTTCCATCTTATAGATATTGTGAAGCACATCATTACAAGTCGATGCGAGGTTGATGTACGCAATAACCAAGGCCTTACACCACTACATCTTTGCGCCTCGGTAGGATCAATTGCTGTGTGTGAATGCCTGTTAAAAGGAGGTGCTGATATCAACTGCATTAATACACAGTGTAAGGTAATGAAGGCAAAACAAATTTTTTGACTGTCGTATAATTATTTGATCAGTGCCATAGCTTTCTACTGAGAAAACTATCAAATGATTTTTATCCATTTCGCTCTGATGACGATAAATACCAGAGGGTTCATAGTTGATAGGCAAGGCAAACTAGCAAACTATGTCCCTTCCAGGCAAACTAGCTCATTTATCAGACCACCAGGATAAGCTATAAGGCAAAACGCCAAGTATTCAAGATAGAAACTCGACCAGAATTGTATACTTTATGCTCTAACCAGGAGCAGATGGGATTATCGGCCAACTGCTGATGATGTATATACATATTTAGCTTGATTTTCCCTGAACCACAAATCCTCTTAAAACTATCTCTCAAAATGTTTCCCTAAGTCCCTTACGGCAACTTTTCTTGGCGAAACATGCCAAACATTGGATCATTTTTACATACCTTAAAGAACGGACTCTACAAGTTCCTAACACCGCTTGACCTGGCGCGGATGAACAAGCATGCGGAATGTGTAAATTACCTTCAAATCAACGGCGGTAGGAGTGGAGAACGGATGACCACGGCTGCTTCAAGGAAAATACAACGATGGTGGAAAGCACGCAGACCTCCTAAAATAGCACTGGGATCCAATAGGGAATATGCTGAGGAATGTTCGGAGGAAATGATGGAAGCAACTCAGGACACACCTGAACGGTTCGTGAAGTATTCACTTTTGACGTATGGCATGTAGTCTGTTTTTGATAAAGTAGTACTATTGCATTGCCTTTAGTTGATTTCACTGTCTCGTATGCGGTTTAAAACTTCAAAAGGAAGTCCTTCTTCAATGTGCGATGAAACATTTGCCCCATGTTACATAATCTTTTCCAGATCTACCGAGGAGTATATTACGCAGACAGAAAACACGGGCGGACGGAAAAAAGATGAAGAGGCTTCCGGGCCCAAGCAAGGTGATGATTTGATTGACCAAATAAACGGACAAGAGTCTTCTTGCATAGACCGATGTAATCCTCCTCGACAAATCAAGGGGACCTTGGACCAAAATCCATCCTTGATAAACAGTGCAGAAAATGCTGAGAATGCGTTAAAGAGAGCTGAAGAAACAAGCACTTTAGATGTAGATGATGAGTTGGAAACAACGTTCCCGGAGAGTAATGAAATTGAAGTTCACACCCCTGCTAAAACCATGGAACCATCGGCAGATTTGCCAGGTAAGATTCTTTCATGCACACAATGCTATATTTGTTGTATATACAATTCTCAGCCTGGCGTATGTGAATGTGTAAACACGCGCGTAAACGTCACATTTTCAATTCCGCATTTTAAGAAAATCAGCAAGATTGTGGCGTGGTCCCAAAGCAGGCCGATCAGAAAGAGAACGTTGATGGGATAAGAACAAAAACCGCTTCAAAACTAGAAACACGACAGGCAATCAAGCAGCGTTTGAAAGAATCCTTGGAAAAGGAGAAATTAAGGAAGGCAAGTGTATATTGAAATCAACTTTATCTACCATACCGATTTCAGTGTGACCAGATTAAAGTGTTCTTTTATGTCAATATTGGCACGAGGGAACCTTTCTACTTTGAAACCATAATCTCTTTTTCCACAGTCGATACTTTGCGCTGAAGTTTATCATTCTTTTCAAACAGGAAAAACTAAGCGAGGAAATTGAACGTTTGAAGAACGATCTGGAAGATCGTTGTCTTCGTTTGGAAAAGCGTTTAGGGGTAAGTTAATTTGTCGGAATTCTCCAAGCAATCCCTAAGGTGGAAATACTAGTGTTTTGGGGTATGTTTGCCTGTTGACGTTGAAAGTCCAACCGAGGGCTGGCCATTGCCACTGATGCCTGCCTGTCGTGTCCAATATTAACTGCTCAGTGCAGGAGTTGCCACCAATATTAGCCCGAGTAGAGTAGTATGTCTTTGCTTTTTACTGTCAAGTGTCAACCTTCCCCAACTTCAGTTGATCACTGCATGCAATACTGATAGTCTAGCTGACTGCAGAGCTGTTTGCTACCAAACACTAGTCCAAATATAGTCTACCATATCTTGCTTTACAACGCTGTATTGAATGTTTCACTTTAACCTTCACCACTATGCCAGTTCAACACTTTATCAAGCGGTACTCGACGTTTTAATCTAAATTCCCGTTATCCTTGCAACTGCGCGCACCGACCTTTGAATAACTCGCGAGCTTTGGTTATTGTAAAACCTCAACATAGTCCATCATTAAACATTTTGGAACAAAACAATATTTATTTGGAAACTATCTACGCGCATTAATTTGTTGAATGAGATTGAGAACCAGCAAACATGCCTCTTACATTGTCCCAAAAATTTTTCGTCTAGGCAATCCAACAAAATTTGAAGAAACTATAGGGTATGTTTTTACGACTGTTGTATACGACTTGCCGAAGATAAATAGAGCATAGTTCATTTAGTCATTATATATATACGTGTTAGTTATAATGAAGACTGTAATAACTATACTACGAGCTATTAATGCAAGTACCGCGCGATGTAAATAAATTTTAACAATGTAAATCTAATAAACTATTTATCCCCTTTCCCAGGGCTGAGCTAATATATTCAAAGCATTTGTCTACGAGATACGACCATTTCATCAATATTTGCTAACAGGAATGAGGTAGAATACTTATCTTTCGAGCCTCCATTGCATGACGGTATTATCCTTGCCTCCGGTGCTGACGACATAAGAATCCGTTGCTAGGAAACGTACGGCGGTAACATGGGAACTATGACCGTGGGCAACATTTGGCGTGGACTAGAACGGAGAAAAAATACAGATATGTATGGGGGTCCACTGATCTGAAAATTAGACCTGTGTCATGACATTCATATTCTCAGCTCTGACTCAAGGCTGGTTTCCACTCAGGAAAATTCTCCTTTGGATCAGTTAGGACAGGAAAGTTTCCTTTGTATAAACACCGCCTGAGAACTCACCGACCAAGGAAATTTTCCTGTCCGTTCCGATCCAAAAGAGATTTCTCCTGAGTGGAAACTAGCCTTAAATCATTGTCGAAATTTCCCAATGGGAAACTGATTTAGCAGATGACAAGAGTAGGTTTGCGATTTTTCACAGAACTCACAGAAACAACTGGCTTATATTGATGATAAGGTATGGAAAAGCTTACCTTTGGCTTCGAGCAAGGATACGTAAACATATTCAAACAGCCTGAATCATCACCGCTGACGAGGTACTGAGAACTATGTGATCTAATGCACGTATTGATATCAGTTCCATCAGCGCCCTCTGGCCACATTCCTAAGCAAATTAGCACGAGAATTTATTTCAACGTAAATTGGCTATTTATTTAGTTTCGCAGCTTCAAAACGCCTCTCTAATGTACAGAGTACTAACACGAGACTTGTGATGATAGTGAACCTTTTATTGCAATATTGCCTACCTCGCACAGGGAACCCCAGCACACAAGACCAAGAATCCCACTCGGTATCTCTCATTGAAAATCCTGATGAAACTTGTTTGCAATCTTTTGCCTGCCCTAAAAATGAGATAGGATATCATACTTCCTCCTCCTGGATCATATTATCGATTCCAAATTCACAACTCAATTATGTGACTGCAAAACAGCAAAAATATAAACTACCCTTCCTTGATTGCAAGTAAGAAACATACTTCTTTGCATCAGGGGCCAGTTGTACCAAGCCCGTTTAGCTTAAACGGTGGTTAAGTTCAAAATAGAAAGCACATCTATCGTTTTATTCAACAAGCGAACTAAATGTTTCTAACCTTAATCAGTACAAAGTTACTGTTCACAACTACATATTCAGTGTATAATTCAAGTTGACTCATTCAAAAGAGACGTAAGAGTGATATTTAGTTTTGACTTATCCACCGTTGAAGTTAAACAGGCTTGATACAACCAGCCCCAGGTCAATTAAACCCAACAGAAAACCAATTCCTTGCTGGTCTTCTATATCAGTTCAAAAATGTTGTCCTGAAAAGAAACCTCGATTTCACTTACAGTATAAGATCTCGTAGTCTCCAGAATTGCTTTGCAAATGTTGGCTGTCCTTGGACCAGTCAAGATGCGTTATGTAACTAGAATGACCGGACAGTCGTCCATGTTTTTTATACTGCTTGCCATCCTCGCTCACAGTAAACAAATAGATAAAGTTGTCGTGAGAGCCAACCGCTAGATAACATCCATCTAAAGATGATACGAATATATACATTAGCTGCTTTGGTCAAATGAAATATATAACATCCATGCAGGGTTGGTTACTATATTCTGTTTAGTCCTATTATAGATGGAAATCTTCACTAAAATATTTTCTTTATACTGCATGGATAGCTTCATAGTTCTAAACTATTCCTTTTGCAGATCCAGTAAGGATCATCTCTCATTGATCCAGTGTTACTACAGGAGGAAACGCAGACTAACCAAACCTTATGTATGCTGGATAGCTCTATCAGTTCTAAACTATTCTTTCTAAAAGTGCTGTAAGGATAATCTCTTATTGATCCCGTGTTACTACAGAAGGAAACCTAAACTAAACTAACTTTATTTACACTCAATAGTTCTATCAGTTCTAAACTGTTCTTCCTAGAAGCCCAGTAAAGATTATCTCTTATTGACCCAGTGTTACTATACAGGAGGAAACCTAAACCAAACTAACTTTATTTATAATGAATAGTTCTATCAGTTCTAAACTGTTCTTCCTAGAAGCCCAGTAAGCATTGTGTCTTATTGATCCAGTGTTACTACAGGAGTAAGGAAGTTAAATATATACATATATATATAATAAAATAAGGTGGTCGAAAAATTTACCAGGAGAATACTTTATGCAGTCATGTTGTTCTGAACCAATCTCACAGGTGTAGAATTCCTCTCCAGTATCAGCGTCAAGAATGTGGAACTTATTGTTCTGAGATGCGACTGCCAGGAAATTACCATTGGGATGAAAACATACTGACTGAAGAGCACCCTAAGACATTCATTGACGATAGCTTGAATCAAAAATCAAACAAGTGAACTAGCCCTAAAATGGACGATTCCTAGCTGTCATGTCACGGTTTTTTGTTGGGGTGTGTCAGAGACGATTCTTTATGGGGTGTGTCAGAAACGTTTTCTCTGCTTATATTATAGGGGATAAAATAGAAGAGAGGGGTTTCTTAGCGACACATACTGACAAACCGCCCAACTCTGAATACTACTTTTAGTATCAAATTTCTGTATTTCACAATCACAAACCTCCAGCGGCTGAGACCAGACCAAAGACTTATCCTCGCTGTTCCAAACATACAACATCTTATCATAACCACATGTCACAAATATTGGCTTAGAAGGATGGACGCACAGACCCCACGTTTCCTCAGAATGACCCTGGAATATAAGCGATGGTCATCACTGAACATACAACGATATGATACGCGATCAACCAGCTTGCATGGATTGAAAGTTCTTAAATCAAATGTTGTTTGCATCAAATGATCTAGTTACCTTTGTCAAGCACTGAAATTGATTGCTTTCTTCTATAAATTTTCCTTGAAGGATGCAGTTTTTCGTTGTTCCAACCACGACGGATCGTTCTTCGTCATCATTGGGACCCAAGATAGCAGATCTTACTGTACCACTTTCCTCTGGAATCTAAAGGGAGCACGACTTGCTTTAACGGAAAGTTGATCCAGGAAAACTGACTGAGAGAAGACTCATTTGAGACAGTCAATTCAGTTAGTTAGCTACAGAGAACCCATCATATTTCGCAAAAAAACAGTTCTATCCCGAAAAATAAACTAGATTCATGCCATTATCAATTCTATATATCTCGCTCGTTACGCCCCAATCTCGGCTACTAATCAAAATTTACCTCTAACTGTTTCTCAGACTTGTTGTAATTGCTGTCCCACAGGAAGACTTTCCTATCCTTGCCTCCACCGGAGAGAAACGCTCCATCCTCAAATGATTCGATAGAGAAGATTGGCCCCTAAATCAGATAGGATTAACGGATAGAATTAGCGGTTAGAATTAAGATTTGGGTTAGTGCTAGGGTTAAGGTTGGGAAAATAGGTTTACTATTAAGATTAACTTGACTTCGTTAATAAATTCGGATTGCTTGTATGGAAATTTGTAACTGTTTTATTCAGATAGCAAAGTTGAATGCGTTGCTAGAGCCAAAGATAAAAAGCAGGTAGCAATTTAACCGGCGAAGCTCTCTTCCATACCTCGTGAGCAGCTGTTATTTCTTGTGTGATTTGGTTGCCCTCTAAACACCACATAAAAGTAAATATAAAAAGACTAAACTTACAAACGATTGAATATTGTTAAAATTTTAGCGAAACTCACTAGCCATGCACTATTTGTACAATAATTTGGATCGTGACAAACATACCGTTTGCCCAAATGAAGATATTGCCATTTGAATCACCAGAAATCACCTGCCCATTTTGTCCAAATGCAAAACACAACACATACTTTGGTTTAGCGTGTTTCTGAAATGAAACATTAATAATATATATGAGAGCATTGTAGAAAAGTTGAATGAATCATTGCATATTTGTTACGAAAACGTACGATGCAACACTGATGATTTGTTTGAGACAAAATTTGAAGCAAGAATGACGATTTTCATTGATACATTGCTGATCAATCACCAGGCAGTTACCTCAAAAACGCCCATTTTCTTTTCGAGTTTTTTTTCATCGTTCAGTTTCCAGAATGCGATGTGGGACTTGCCACACGTGACCAGACGCTTTGAATCACCCGGGTAGAAATCCACAGCCAAGACTGGCTCATTACCTCCCTAGAGAAGATCAAATGATCAGATAATCATTCATTGGCATTTGGCAATTAGCTAATATGATGGACGCGTGATGCGCGCCTAATGTACCAGATATTAAGATTTCAAATATACACGTACTTTAGCTTCAGTTACTTTTTTCTTGTTTTCCCATTCCCAGATGGATAAATTGTGATCATTTCCATCATCCACACCAACCACATGAGCACCACCATCCTGGGACGCAGAAAATTACATTCAGAAAAAAACTGATTATGGTTGACAATTGACATAGCTGCATTGAAAACTGACGACACAAGGGTGCTATAACTGGTTGTTATACTGCAGTTATACTGGTTGATATAGCTGTGTATTAGGATCATTCGAATGATGTACCCAGAGCCTTCATGCTATTGCCCGTGAATTAAGGCTACTAAGGTTCATCTGACTTACTTCAACTGAAAATGCCACACAAGATAATCCCCTTTGAAATGATCCCAAACCAACTACTTTGAGTGTTTGCAGGGAGGTGATGTTCCAGATCCGAATATGCGGCTACAAACATATAAAATGAAACCGTAATGAATATATATACTTCCTCTGCTTGCCATTGACAAAATAAAGTCTTTACAATTACACACCAATGTTTTAGTAGTTGAAGTGGAAGAAAGTATGTTTCTGGTTGGTTATAATCACAATTAGGGGAAGCTATCTTCACTAAGATTCAACTTTGAAGAGATTTGGATTGTGTCTCCTACTCTCTGGTATATTACCTTGCCTTCCTTCTTTGCATGTCCTGCAACTTGACCACTTGCAATAATCTCTTTGTTTGGATGCAGAGCGAGGCTATGATACATAATTTACATGAGCATTACGAAATAATTTGCTAATTGTCAAGAGGACTTTGTGGGTGATAGGTGTTAATTCACAGCAGACATAGATTTATAGGCGGTGTGGCCAGTTGATGTGTATATAGGAATTATAGGGGGTATGGTTGACATGCATATAGGAATGTATATATAGGTATACACAGTATAGGAATTTAACCAAATTAAGTTACCATTTGACATCATCAGTGTGTTCAGTATAGTGTCGCTGGGTCTTGGTTGTTGGGTTGTATATTACTACAACAGCAGCTGTGTTATACACAATCTCACTGGATGGCAAGCAATAGAGATTGTTGCGACAGTCTTTTCCACGGTAACCATGCCTAATATGACATTAAGGTCAATATAATTGCTCGATCACTATTACCTCCAGTGCAAGATTCATTAAATTTTTTTTTATGAAAACATGTTTGTAAAGAAATAAATAGTGGAGCCTATTATCTTTTTTAACCATTAGCTTGATAGCCTTTGTAACGGTTTAAGTGCTTGACCAGGGTTGGTTGTTCAAATTTAGCAGTTAGTGCTAACCCTGAGTTAAATTATGCTCCGCTGTTATGGTTAATGTGCTTCTGCATATGTGCACTGTTTGTTTCAAATGAAAAAACAAGTTCAACTTCATAAACGAACAGTTAAAAAAATTAATGTGAAAATTTGAGTTAACCCAGGGTTAAGCTAACCGGCTTTTGAGCAACCGGCTCCAGGTAGCAATTGCCAGCCATAGTGATTATATAATTCTATTATTAAGGATACACCCATTCCAATAGTAACTTCACATCAGGAGCATCTCCAGAATGAGACGATTCATCAAAATTACTTGGCGGATAAAAATTCAATGTCCTACCACGCAGCTGGAATTTCATAGCAACTGCATCTATAGAGGGCCATTAACAATATTTTCACAAAGTCTACTAATTCATTTGACATATATAAAAGTTTATACTAATCTTATGTATACATTTCTATTTAATACTTTCTATTTGAAAAGCATCCAAGAACATGCAGCGTAGCAAAATATCCAAGTATTTAGAACTTGATTAATAAACGTCTCAAGTGCATTACCTCGTTCAGCTTGTTCTTCTTTTGATAAGCCACTGCAATACATTTTATGGTATTAGACAAAACGAAACAACAAAAAAATAGCTACTCTAGGTGCAACTACAGGTATTTTCCAAAAATCGAACTTGCAACCAGCTTCTTACAAAAATCAATGGATGTATAACAATAGCAAGCACACATGTAGCACTGTTTGAGGAGGATGCAATAGCAGATGGAAGCAGTTGTAGGTACTTGCTATTTTAAGCCATTTGTCTCTATAGTAAACTCAATTCAACCTTTTTTAGGGAAGCACCTGGGTACATACTACACAAAGCTTTATAATTATTTAAATGGTCAATTGAGAAAGAATTACCTATTGCTAGTTTTTCTCCTGATAGATGACCCCTTCCTGAAATAATTACAAAAGAATATAGTACCATATGGCCATACAAAAGAACAGCATATAAAATGGTTGCACGTTTACCTGCTTGCAGAATCAGAAGCGCTGTGCTTCGATGATGGAGGTCTTGGTGTTGATGCAAAGCTATTTGTTGGTGATTTCCCAGACTTCTTACTTTGACTAGCATACTTGAATGGGGTCTTAAAATAAAATGGCCAGATGAGATATACTAAATTGTTCAGAAGAAAGGTACTTTGTCTAATATCATAGGCAAAATAGAAAAAACGTACATGGTCTCCAAGAGCTGATGTTGAATTGGGCCTTTTAGGTTTTCCAGAAGCTGCAAAACAAAATGTTAAACTAGTTAAAAACAAATTTTGACAATGGTACTTTGCCAATGTATCTTTATATACTTTTACGTCTTACATTAGCTAGGTAACTTTATACACATCCAAAAGAATAATTATTGGCTAGAATATGCATCAACTGAGTAATTTTCTACTTGAGCAAATATTTATAATGTAATTTGGGTGCAGTCGCATTAAGGTCATATGTATACCAAAACCATTTCAAAAGATTGCTTTGAAACAAAGTCAAACAAACTAAGCTACATTTAAATAAATATCGATCATCTTCACCCCCTTTTAATTTATGTATAATCTGAGTCTAGTATGTTAGTGGCGCAATTCAATTAAACTTTTAACAATGTACAAATTGTATCTTTAATCTATTTCAGTACTTCTAACCACAGTTATTAGAATATACATGGTTTGGAGACTACATGGAAATACAATACAACTCATTATCTATGTTATTGTCCAGGTTTATGCAAAAAATGGTTCCTTATCGTCACATGTCTATTGTATTTTTGCCCAAATAACCAATAGCAATGGCTTGGCTTAGCTCCTCCACTGTGACTTGAACAACATGTTAATTCAGACCTTACTATTAGTTTATTTGTTCAAAATACAATAGACACGTGAAAATAAGGAACAATTTTTTGCATAAATGTTCTCCGACATAGTTAATGAGTTCTATTAATTGTACTATTGTACTCTTATGTAGTCTCTAAATCATATATATTCTATTAACAGTGTTCTAACACAAGTAGCATAGAACAATAGACATGTACATTTCTATCCTGAAGAGGTCATGCCAAATATATCTCATGAATAAACAAACTTTAAGAGCTCATTTAATTGCACCACTTATACATTGAAAGGTCAGAGTTATTTGGTGCATTCTATGTCTATTTTCCCAACACAAATTTGTCGACACAGCCCATAATAATTCTACCCTGTGAATATTTAATTTAGTCAAGTCTTGCTTACATCTGTTTGAAATTTTCAACCAGACCTCGGAAGCTATTATCTAGATATTTGCATAATTCATCAGGCCAAAAACCTTTTTAATAATAATAAAACAATCCATCCCTTTGCCATAGTAGAGCAATCCAAATACGTAACTGAACATGAATTTCCATCACAATGGCCAAAACCTGCCCTCTCAGGATCAAGGCAGGATTTATTTAAGGATTTATTTATTTAAGTAATTAGAATGTCATTCAACTGTATGTAGACTGATTAGAACTGCTAATTAGCAACTTCATTATAAATTAACACAATTTAACAGGATCTTGAAAATGTTAAAGGTTTCTCTTCTTTGCATGGCAAAATATAAACGATTGACTGAAACTCATCTTGGTAATTATAAAATAAATGATATTCAAGTTGTTTATTTAAAAGCCCGTGTATGGAATAATCCTAAATTCAATAAGGGTCATGTTTAAATGGCAACATGAACTTATTATCATATTTCATAGTATGTCTGTGTGAACATATTTTAAAGTTTTGTACAATACAAAACATAGTACAAATATTTACCACTCGCTGGCTTCCGTTCCTCCAATACTTGCAGTCTTCTCAAAGCATCAGCCAAAGATGATTTAAGAACAAGGATTTCGTCTCCTTGATCTCTGACCTGCTTCTTAAGACTTGCAAGCTCGTCAGAGTCACGATAATCTCCAGAACATTCTGGGGAAAAATTAGTCGAAAAATCATTTAGTTGGCCGTTCAAGACACGGAAGACTTCCAAATGGTTGCTGCTCAAAATACTGCTGAGTCTCACTACTTTTACAGGTAAAAATGACAAATTCTTCGAGACACATGGTCAAATTTGAAGCACTCACCTGCGGAGTTATTTACATTGGCTTGCTCGTCCATTGACTCCATTTTAAAGCGTTGTTATTAAAAGAATAACACCAGTTTGACTTTTACGCTGTATTGCTAGCTAAATTTCACTGCAACGTAGCGAAGAAATGGCAAAAATTTTCTCAAGAATGTTGAACAAAACACATGCACAATATATGCCAACTGTCCAAGCACGAGACTTTCCGACATAAATTTAAAATTCACTTCGCGGTTTTTCGCGCTCAAATAGCGCGTAAAATGCTGACAGCTCCCGCGTGGCAACGCATGAGCCTAGCGTGAGCACGCGTTAGCAGACATTGTGACACCCGCTTGACACTTCGACACAGGCCAATAAACTAGTCTAGACTGTTCTAACAGTACATATCACTATCAATACTATTACAAAACTTTTATAACTTACAATTCTGTTTTGCTCCCTCTCCATTTTTTGGATGTATTTCGTAAAACAAATTCACGTAACTTTCCCCAACACTTTCTAGCGTTTCCTGCAAAACGTCGTCACTCACGCAAATTACGGTAAAACAAGTACTTTATTGTATCGACAATTTGTACATTTTGCGCATTTGATGCATTTACGGATCGTCTTGTTTGCGAATTTTATACTGCGCGCTTCAACACGAATATTCGTGTTTTGGCGCAGGAAGATTGTTTTGACGCAAACTTCAGTTTTATTATAAACAATCGGAAAGTGCTTCCGCAAATCTGGTAAATATTGAAATGATAACGTGGTAATATATAACTTATTATCGTGGCAAAGAAGGCGCGGACTAGTAATAATCGTAATTGTTAGGGAATCGCCCATATTTATAGTTACATATCAACTGACTTTGGAAATATTCATATGGCGTTATTGGCCGTGTTTTAGAATGTTCGAGCGCCCCGTTTCCAAACAATGGGGGCAAGAAAGGACACGTTTGATAATTGCATTACGCAAAGTATACAGACCATAAAGCAGCAATTTCAAGGTCATATTTTGAGATCTAAATGCGGGTCAAGGTTGGCTCCGCACCAAAGTTGCGTGATTGAGCAAGGTCACGTGGACTCGATGCGGTCGCTGATTGGCCAGAGTGCGTGTACGTCGCAAGCACGTGCTCGAAAACACAACACGAGGTTTTGGGAAGTTAACGTTTGTTTACGCGAAACATTTCGAAGTCATGTCTGACGAGGAAAATATAGACGTTGAATCGGACGAGGTAATGGCGCGTTTTTAACCCAGATTTTCTCCCCACTTTCAGATCTGATTGTTAGCTTGCTATTCTTCACCTAGGAAGCGACAGAAGACCAACAACCGACCCAATTTTTAACACAGGTGAATTCAAATGCTTTTGTTTTTATCGAATGCACATGGGATTTGTGCATGACACGTGTCCAAAATATTGCTCACGAAAACTTGTCAATTTCGTGTTGATTTTGTTCGAAACTTTGGCACGACTTACATCGACGGTGCCTTAATGTCTTTGTGTATTTCCATTAAAATCGAGAAAGAATTTCCGAACACAATTGAATTTTGTATCAGCTCGTAATTTGTATTTTCATGCCGTTCACGCTAATACCGAAAGCTGCAACTTCAAACGTGTTTTGATATTAAAATTTTTCTTGTTGAATTCCAGGCAGACAAACGAGCACACCACAATGCGTTGGAAAGAAAGAGACGAGATCATATAAAAGACAGCTTTTGTCATCTTCGAGATTCTGTTCCTTCCCTTCACGGGGAAAAGGTTGGTGTTTTGTTTCGGCTACATACTGTGACCTGCGTTCGTTTGTTTCTAGAAGTATATACTTGTAAAATGCTCAAACCTCCTCTTTCTATCGCTCTGAAGAGTTAATAACATACAAACTTTGAAGTCATTTCGATTCAAAATATACTACACTGTTGCAAATGCTTTGAAAGTGTCTGTCAACGCTTTGTTAAGCCCTCTGACAATACCTCGCTTATATTTCTAGACTTTCGCAAATATAAAAGCACGCTTTCCCCGGTAGTCGCAATATTTGGGAGCCGGTATCATATAAATTAAAAAAAATAATAAAATACACAGACCATCTCGGGAGAGAAAAAGTGCTGAGTTGAAATTTTAAAATTGAAAGTATTTTGTACACGTTTATACAAGTACTGTTCGGGGAAAATTCGACTGCGAATATCATGGCTATTTATATAATAAATACAAGTTCACGTTTAGACTTGTGCCAATTTCCTGTTATTATTACTCGAAACTTTTCTTTCGGTTTAATAAATGGGCCAGACTCTTATAGACGATTTCAATTATTATGTAGGAATTGTTAAAAGGCGGAATTTTTTGGATTTTCTTGCATTCTAAAATAGAAGTTCGTTCAACCATGACCCGCTGTCGTATCACAATAGTTTTAATCTCAGAATTGATAAAGTTTCAACCTTGAGGCGGTGTGGTATAATATTAAATTGACCCCATCAAAGTGTACTTATATTGATTCTGCCTGCATTTTAAAGAACATTAGTAGATACGGATATTATAGTTGAAAACACCTGTGTTGGCATTTCATTATTTATTAACAGGTAGTGTGTGTGGGTTAGCCTAAGATTAGACCTCTCATAAAATGTACTTAAAGAGACAAGTTTCTGAATGACAGGATACATGCATTCATCAATCATGCTATCTACATGTTTAATTAAACTTGTTTCACAGCAAGTTTAATTTAAAAAGCCAACAACTTGTAACAAGTTGTAAAAACCTTGTCAATTGATTTGTTTCAAGGTTTCTGATGCTCTAAGTCTCTGCTCACACACTTGAACTTTGTTGGATCCAATTCACTTCTGACATATGGAATATAGTCTGTTATTGATAAAGCAGTATTGCATTGGCTTCAGTGCATTTGCTGCCCATAAACATCATAAGACAACAGACTACAAAACATCCATCAAAAGTGAATTGGATCCAACAAAATTGGATAGTGTGAACAGACCTTTACATCACACAATATTACTTCTCAGTAAGAGTACTGACAGTTGTTCAGTTGGCAATTTGCATCAAACCTACCTTAGAAATTTAACATCAACCAATTGTCATCTTGGTTGCAATATATATTCCATTTATCCAAGGATTGGCCAACCACATTGATTTAGAGATTTGTTTATTACTTCAGGCATCAAGAGCGCAAATTCTGAACAAGGCAACAGACTACATCAATTACATGAGAAGAAAAAACCACTCTCATCAGGTAAAGATGCTCATCCAATTGACGCGAAGCATTTGCCATTCAAACAATACCATCTTTTATGGTGTATTTATAAAGTTGAATATCGATTTTGATTTCATACTTATTATTAAACAGACAGACATTGAAGATCTCAAGCAACAAAATGTCATGCTTGACCAACAAAGTATGTGAAAGCAAAGCCAAATGTTTAAGTATAAATGTCATGTCATTATAAGCCTATATTGAATATAAACCCATTATATCAATGCTAAATTATACCTACCTTCCTATAGTCCATAACATGGAAAAACAAACAAACAGCGGCCTTTTCAATACAGACACAGCTACGGCATTGATTTCGACAACAGACACCTTGTTGAGTACATCTCCACTCCCCAGTGATTCCCTACTTGAACAGGAACACGATTCCAACACACTCGTAGACCCTTTTGTAAATATTGATGGCGTTGATGGTCCCCAAAATGCAGGAGAATACACAACACCAAGTAAGAGGATCAAGACGGACGCTTAGCTATACATGAACTATTTTAAATCTTTCCGTAATCGTGGGAATTGCTAATATTGAATTATTTTATTTGCTCAACCCAAGGGAATGTTATGGATGACAGCTACAGGATATGATTACTATTTATTTTTTCTTGGAAATTGCACCAATGTAATATAAGATGTCATTTTACATCGCTAGGAAATCTGTAAATAAAAACGCACATCTGGGTAAAAATAAATAATGTGTATGTTTGTACAATCGACTTTCGTAACTACATTATAGCCATTCTTTCTAGACATGCTTAAACTTTAAGTTTCCAAATTCTGAGGATTCTAAATTCTGAGGATTCTAAATTTGTGTAAATATAGTGTTTTGTTTTATATGCAAAACAATGTCTCGCACCACACACCTGCACAGATAACTAAGATGAATCACCAAACTGAATAAATATTTTAAAACCTACTTATTAATCCATGCTCCCTTGCTTGTGAATAGTTCTGGTAACTTGCAATAGATGCTTGTAACTGGCAATACTTTGTCACAGAGGAGTTACATTAAATTACAGCATGCACCATGCTGCAGTTTTTGGATTGAATTAAGTTCTCTTGTCATAATTGTTGTGAAAATTGAAATGATCTTTCTCACCAAGGCATAAAAACAATTGTCTGAGTTTGTCTATTGTCTACAGTTAACACGCTCACAACAATTACAAATGAGAAATGGGCTTCAGTGTTTTGACTGAACTGCTATTCGTAATCCAAGATCATAGTGAATATTGGGAATCCTGGAATGTTTGAAAATTTACCCACAATTGCTTCTTTCCCATTCTGTGCTTTCACGAAACATATAGACTGTATATGAGCCAGACAAATGTTATGGACAAGAGCACCGTCCTTCCGTGGTGCCTTTGTTGAAATTTAGATATCATAGATTCTGTATGACTTTCACCTGTGGGAAAAAACAATTGTCAGACAGTTAAGAAACAACATTCACTTCACAACACAACTTGCCAGGTACATGGTGCAAGTATGTTGCATATGAACAAATACAGTAATCTGTATTTTCTTCTGTTGACCGGATAAAATACTAATGTGTATGTAAAACACTAAGAGTGATTGATATAAATTGCAGGTGAAGGCCAGCTAGGGTTAACAGACAAAAAGTTAGCAAACCTCCTGACATAGTACTTGGCAAGAGCACTGTGCTCAGCATTTTTACGAATGTGTTTTGAACTCAGTCTGAACACAGCATTAGTTACATTACATAATGCGAGACTACTTGTGGTATGAAATAAAAACAATACTCACTTTTCTTTGCAAAATCCGGTGCCATCAAATGGTCAATAATTCTTGGACATAAATAAAACTTTGTATAAAGCAATACCAGAAGTAAACCCAAGACTCCATACAGCCAATAATGTCTGTCTCTTATCTCCAACAAAAACACAGCAAATCCAGCAAAACAGGCCAGCAAATTTAGTCGATACTATACAAAACAAATTAGAGAATGATTAATAGGTGGGGTACCCAGTAGCATACCAGTGCTTGATCAAGATGTCCTTCAGCAGACTTTGGGACATTCAGAACATTATTTTTCTGCTAGTGTCTCAGACTTCTCAGTTCAACTGTACAACACAAAATATATTTCCAATAGACCTTATGCATAATGATGTATCAAGCTGTGACGCCTGCAGGGAATTCTGGTTTTAGTAGTCATGGCGAAAAATTCAAACTTCAAAATTTCCCAGAATTTTCTGCAGGTGTCACAGCTTGTTGTAACGTCATTTCCATAAGATCTATTACTACTAGAGGATAATGAGAAAATATCTCTAGATTACAAATTTTAACACAATTCATGATAGAATTAGGATAACAGCTTAAATATGTCAGTTTTAAAGGATCGGAAAATAGTGATGAGTGGTTCCACTTTTTTTATTCAAGTCCAACATCAAGAAAATGAAATATCTATGTTTTCCTAACCCTAGTGTTTGTTTTACTATTTGGCATGCTGGGTTTAGTAGAAATCTGAAATCACACCAATGAAATATGTAAAGAATATCACAAAAAGACAACTTCACATATCTCCAATAACATTATGTATTTGTATTTTCAATGAAATCCTATGTGACTGATGAGAGAAACTCATCTCAAAACGGTTTATAAATTATATAAAGAAATGATAGAATAAATAGATCTACAATTAAGAGTACAAACGCAAACTGGTTTATCTTTTGCACGTTTCATGCTTTTATATAACGACTTGTCTTACCATATAAAGGTTCACCGTCGTCCCAGAGAAACGAAATACTCGCAAGGATATCTTGTCAGCATTGACCATGGCAAGCAGACATTTGAACGGCGCCCTGCTAAGAAACAAGCTTTGTCCCGCAAGCAAGCCGCATGAGAATACAGCGAGAAACTTGAAGATTACTATAACAGCATCAAATTTATCCGGATCAAAAAACATGTCGAATTATCGCAATTTTTCTCAAAAAATCCAAAATTTAAAACAGAAATTCAACATGGTCGAATCTGGACGTCTAATACTTCGTGTTACATATTACCAAGTGTTCTCAGCACGAACAATGGAAAACTAAAACTAGATCGCCAGTCTTTCGCCGTTTTGCGACCCTATTTTAAAACAAGATGTATGGTGGTCCACAAAAGTCTCAATAAATAGGCTTTGTTGTAGAACTTTGCCTACGTTTGAGATATCTTTTCCAGATAGTTTAGACACAAAACAGTGAAAACACGATACCTTATTCCACAATACTACATACACCAGACCCCCCCTGGGCCCCCCATGTGTAGGAGACACCATGAAAATACTGTACTATACATGGTCGAAGTTAACATATTTATTGATTCGTATTAACGGGCAAATACCCCTCCTGTGTCTCAGTAAAAGGCGTTGTATCTGCATTGTTCTCAGCATAAACGCTGACCACCGTTTTGGTGACCCCGTAAAGTAGCATTTCCCGTTCCTGGTCACCGATTACTAACCGTTTCGATCTGGGCGTGCCAGACGGGACGACCTCTGGTTTTGCAGTCATTAGTTTCTCCATTTTCCATTTGTGTTCGCGCTGCAGTCTTCTCTGCGACCGGCACTTCGAATCGATTTTTGGCTTGATCAATTGCCAACGTAACTCCATCCGGTCTTCCTCGAGTGGAAACTTATAGTCGACGTGTGCTGTAGAAAAAACAGAAACAAATCTAAATATAAGTTGTAGAATTATCATTACCAGTTCTTCACTGCCTTTCTTAGTGGAGGTCCGCTAAAGATCGTCTTCTATTGATTTACGCCTGTATTCTAAAAGCTCACTCACACTCAAACTCATTGAGTGGGAGATCTTAATCTTCTCATAACGTTTCAATGGCGGTATTTCCAGCCGAATAGGAGCTTGATTTTCAGTGATTTACCTTATATCTTTCCATCTATTCAGAGAAAACTTTCTCATTGATCAGCATTAACAAAATTTATATGTCACACTCAATGAGTATGAGTGTGAGTGAGCTTTTTGAATACAGGCGTTAGACTAATTTCACACTATTTACACTAAGTATAAAGACTTTTTTCTATAGCAACAGTCAACAGTGTTATTAAACTAAACTAATGTTATTGGAAAAATACCGGATAGCTTTGTCAGTCCCAAATGTTCATTCTATCTCTTATTGACCAGACTCACCAGAGTCCAGAGTTGCCACAGGAAGAAACTTAAACTAAACTTACATTATACTGGATAGTGCTATTGGTTTTAAACGGTTCTTTGTACAGGTCCAGTAAGGATCATGTCTTATTGATCCATGCAGCGTTACTACAGAAGGAAGCTAAAACGAAACTAACTTCATTTATACTGGATGGCTCTGTCAGTTCTAAACTGTTCTTCCTAGAGGTTCAGTATTCAGCAATAATGATCTCTTATTGCTTCAGTGTTACTACAGGAGGAAACCTAAACTAAACTAACTTTATACTGGTAGCTCTATCAGTTCCAAACTGTCCAGTTTTCCTTCAAGACCACTACAGATCATATCCTATTGATCCAATGTTACTACAGGAGGAAACCTACACAGAACCGACTTCATTTAAAATTTTCAACCTTGATGTCCAGAAAGAATCGCTCCCACTGATTTATGGTATTTCCCAGTACAAAGGCTAAGCTATCAACCATAGATATGTTATATACTTTACCTTTGACCGCCTTGATCTTGCTTGAATCCAAGGATTCCTTCCCTCGCGTTCCTCGAACATTCGAAGCAGCCATTTCCTCGCGGGTGAACAAAGCCTCGGTCAATGCAAGCGCTAATTTCACAGGGTTCAAGCCATAATTCTCGCATTTCGTAATGATCTTTGGATCGCCGCTAAACCAGGCTCGACTGTTGGCGTTATTTGGATCGCCCAGCCAACATCCAGTTCCAGACAACTGATTTCCTAAACAATCAAGGGTGTACTTTGTTTGTTTCATTCCTTAGAATAGGTAAGTATGTGATGTTGAAGATGTTCCACAGTACCAGACTACCTGCGAACCTAACTGGCTACATGTATATACACTGTATGCCCTATATTAAGCTGTAAGTAACTGAAAGGCTAACTCAGACGGGATTCTCTTCGGTTATGATCAGAAATGCTTGACCTTCATCTTTCGGCTGTATATCAGAAAGAAGCGAACCAAAAACTCTACATGGTTTTGAAATCTTTAGACTGTGTATGGCGGTGTTGGCTTTTTCACTTCCTATTTAATGTGACTATTCTCAATACAAATGTTGCTTTCCTGCATTCTGAAACACCAGCTTTTAAAATATGTAAAAAGAAGATGATAAAGATGCCAGCTAGCCTGTTCAAGCCTCAGAAAAAACTCTGAAGTTTCAAATACACCAAAAAAGTCCAAAATACTAAAATACTGATAATCGAGTACTGGCACCTAAACTTGGGCCCCTTCCTGCACCCCTCTGGTCTTGGGGGAATACCCCCATGCAACCCCCCAGTAAATCTATCCCAAATATGTTAGCATCAAATGTGGTATAACAACTGCCTAAAATAGACAAAACACTTCTCGACGTTGCGACCTGAGGGTCTTCGTCAGGAGAGTTAGTATAGCGCCAACAGTCGAGCCTGGTTTAATAACTTTTCTGACGAAGGTCCTCAGGTCGAAACGTCGAGAAGTGTTTTGTCTATTTTAGGAAGTTGTTGTATCACATTTGATGCTAAGTTGTTTGAAGACGCTGCCACACTGCTTCCTGGTTATATTGAAACGTATCCCAAATATGGAATTAAAATCAGGCATTACCTGGACTATCACCGTTCCAGTTCACTTTAGGAGGTGTTTTAACTGGAGTCGTAATCACATCGGTCAGTCCGTTCTCCGACTGAGGCATTGCAGGATTCATTGTTATATCCTCAGATCTCAATTGTGATCCCTCCCAATTCCCAACGATGCTCTGCTGAGGAACTTGTGTGACATAATCAGTCGCGGCAAGGCTAGTGTTCGATACTCCTTGATATTGGGTCGAAGCTAACTGTGGCCGAGTGTCAACTGGACTTAAATACCTGGTTTTCTGAATGAAACATAAGACAGCTATAGTTCATATATACAATGTCCCAACCTTGTAACAACTGATGTTAAACCTCTTAGTTTACCGCAATATATGAACCTTACCTTTTCCGGGGTGCCAACAACCTGACCTGAACCACCATCAGAAAATTCACCAATTATATTACAGAGTTTTGTCACCATATCTTCGATCCTTTGAATGTTCTCCGAATTGGTTTTGACCAACTCATAAATCTGCTTCTATTATAAAAAAAAATGTGATTAGAAAAATTATAAAACTTATGGAGAAATCTATTATTACAATACTCTATGGAGAGTGTTTTCAAAATGAGATCATTTGAGTACTGAAACTCAGCTACTTAGCAGAGAGTTTGACAAAGATAAACACATAGACAAATATCTTTCACTAACTTAACTAATATTTTATTGAACTTTTCCCAAATATTGTACCATATGTACTTTTGTTTTGCAGTACTGCACAGATAGACACTTGAAAATTTGATCAAAAAACACAGCTCAAAATTGAGGCAGGCAATCAATTCTTCCTGGCTATTAGCATTATTCATCAACATACTTACCAGACAGATGTCAGGACTGTTATCAGTTTGTGTGTACATATCTAACATCAAACGTGAGCTCTTTGACTGCAAATGAAACAAATATACCTCACATGATAAATTATACCACATTTAGCTGCATTGTATGGGTCTAAAAAATTGAGAAAGTCAGTATATATACAACATAGTAATACCAAACCTGTATAAAAAATAATACAATACAAAAAAAAGGGAAAATAATTTATTACATTGTTGAAAAATGCATTACAAAAAGTTAAAAAATACAGCGAAAATTCTTTGTGAAAGAAATTGGATGAAAATATTGGATATTTTTATACCTTACAAGGTTAAAAAATCTCCAATGATTTTAGGTAGCGTGTACTTGTGTTAAAATGTTCAATATGAAGTGAGTTCTTCTTGTGAATCTTATCTACAGCATTTAAAATATATTTGATATACACATCATTATCTATCTTTCTTGATAATACACAACTTCATTGTGCAAGTTCAGCAAAGTTCGCTTCTAAAAATCAATAAATTTATAACAGATGCCCATTAGTTAGGATACATACCACCACAAATGGTACCCAATAAACACCATTTATTTATATGGGTAAAAGGTTGAACGAGCCCTCATTTTTTTGACAACTTACATTGTCCACACTGACGAAAAAGTCCTCGGCTTTGCGTTTCTTTGCAACTGTTTTTATTTCCTGATTGTCTTGAAGACATTCAGCTGCTAGGTTCATAACCTGGTCCGAGGTATCGCTAGAATTCAAATTATAAACCAAAAAGTTGGGATACGTAGTTTATGGGTATAAAAAAACATAAGACTATAAAATTTAACAACAGATTTGGGAAATTTTACATCTTACTACACCCGAGTAATGCATATATCAAGTGTATGCCATCTATCACCTCATTTAATGATTTAACCGTAACCCTAAACATAATCTTGACCCAAAGAGTAACACAACTACTAGTCCGATTACTTGTGTACTGACTGTAAAGTGTAAAGTATCCCAGATTTGCTTTAGGGTTGCTACAAAATTAGCAGCGGTATCAAGTATAGTGCATAGCACCACTAGGCAAAAAAGCGTGTCCCAGCAATTTTCTGACCAAATCCATTTGTTCCAATCAATTGCTGAATTGATAGGAAAGTTGCCCAGACCAAACTGGGCAAAAATATATACATACTTATTGCAAAAGGAATGATACATACTAAATTATCCATCCATGTTAAATAGTTCCAGATTTTGAATCCATCTGCATAAAAAGGCATTTAGACAATTGCTGCATGCCTAACACCTTTTGGATAATGGATGGATTCAAACTGAACTGTTATGTTCCCTGGCACACTTCATTTCGCTCAGAAATTGTAATAGTTGTGTTGTAAGCCGCCGGTTATTTGCTGGTTGGTATGAACAGGAAAATTCAACTGAACCCAAATTCGAGTTAGTACAAGCCAATAGGTATTGATGTTTGACCCAAGGTCCCAAACCAATGTAAAAAGCATCTAATTCACAGCACAGAAGCCTGATCATGGTGTGACCAAACAGTCTGTATGTTTTAATCTATTATCAAGAAACTCATTCCCAACAGACATTCATTCTTTCAGTAATACGCTACATGAATCATTTTAAAAGAAAAGGTCACAAAGCAAACTGATTACAAGAACAAAACGTAAAAATCCGAACGTTTTCTCCTTGAACACGAAGTATCATACGAAAGCACGCATGCCGAACGAACACTCAAATTTGAAAACGAAAATGATCATATTTCAAACGCTGAAAAGACGTGTTTAAAAGCAGCATAGAATAGAATTAATGTAGTACCTTTTGTTTTCCATTCTTACAGCTAATTTGGTTTGGATGGATGATAGTTTCTCCTGTAACGCGGTATATTTCCAAGCCATTCGTTTTAGATCGACTTCCGTGAGCACTGACCTTGACGCGTGATCTCGCCCGAAAGCGCCACATTCGCACAGCTAACCCAAGTGACTGTCATTCTAATTCCAAATCTCAAAACTGACTGATAATCCATGGTGATGATACAAGGGGCACCCCACCCCTCTGTATGTTCGCCCACTTGGGGGTAAGAATGCAGGACAGCAGGAAGGTTAGAGAGCCAATGAAGCAAAGTATTGCACAGTATTCAATTCCTTATTGCAAGTGAGATTTTGCGTACCTCATGAATTGATATAGCAGAATAGGGTAACTTCCGTGAAAAGTATTTTTGCCAAAAGTTTAGCTTTTTTAAATAGTCACTATTGTAATTGAACCCAGGTTATATCGTAGGGATACCACTTGAAGTGGAGAGGGGGGGCGCGCACGATAACTATTAAGGTGGCTCGAAAGGACTAAACTATCGAGCACCTTAACTTGATACAAACAGAAAAATGTTTGATAATTGTTACATATATTTTACTATGCCTTTAACATTTCATCTAGCATATATTCAAATGATTAATACAACTAATAATAGAGACGAGAAGTACTTGTTAAACTGACAGCGAGCTAAGTCATAACCTGGCAATCGCATTCCTCGACAACCTTCACTTCTTTGATGAAATTATCGACAGGATTTTCGCACTCCAAATTCACGTTGACCAATTTGAATTTCTTGGGACGACAGCAATAGCAATGGCTGGTATCTGTGCCCGGATCGTAGGAAGATTGACATAAACCGGAACATCTTCTTGTTTTAACTTTCACAGTGGACGTGCAATTATTATCGGTGATGTGCATATCTTCCACAGCAGTCGCTTGACATAGGTTGAGACTTGGCGGAAGAGTTCCTGGTTTGGGAACTGTAAGAAAAACGAAAATGTTTATCGATAATAAACTCTTGTTTGTCTATGTTCCGACCACAGTTCATATTCTAACAGGGTAGAGTCGCAGCTCCTCGCAAGAATGATTTTCATTGGCTGAACTTTACAAGACATTTCTGTTTCAACCAATAGCATAGCATCCTTCTTTAGAAAGCATAGAAAAGCATTATCAAATTGGACGAAAGCTCCCGAGAACTGCGACATCTCCCTTCTAATAACTGTGTTCCGGCCGAAAATACGTACTTACTACAGCTAAATCTTAAAATTTCCCTAAACTATATTCAAGATTAATTTTCTTCGTATAAATTACGTAGTATTGTTGTAAATAATTGTGATATATACGTTTCAATAATTAGATATACTATTGATATCCATGGACTTGAAATAAAGTGGACGTCTCGGGTGAAAAAAGGGATGTGTGAACAATTTTACTTGTTATCATTTTAAAAAGCACTTGAAAACACCGTGCCCTATTTTGAGGTAAGCAGGGGGAAATTAAGTTGAATTTTTAACATCAATTCATATAAAAAAATAACTTATAACATGAACTATCGAATTATAATATTTATCAAACTCACCGCAAGCCGGACAACATTCAACATCCGATTCTGGACGGGTATACCCCTGCAAGAAATGGATATCAAGTTCAAAATGCGATTCAGCAATCTTATACTGCAATAAAATACAGGGTCTTACAGCTGAAGGTTTCGACTATAGTTTTATAGACGAAAGAAATTATACTGCACGAATTCAAGGCCTTTCCCCTACTTAGGGGACTTGTTCCCCCTTTACCTGATGTGCTGAATTACCTGAAGGTAATCATATTGATGGGTTCAGAACTTAGAACCTAAACTTCTACCTCTATTAAAAAGATGCATGGAAATCTTGCATTGCCCTACCTGTGCACAAGGTTCACATTTCTCGATGTTTTTCTCAATTTGAACGCTTTGGTTGAGAGGCACGCAGGCGTTGGGCACTTCCTTACAGTGAAGGGTAGTGCAAGGTCCATCAGACCAGGTGCTGTTCGGCTAAAAAACCAAAATATTTTACATGTCAGAAGAATACAAGAGAGACAGTCCAAGTAAAGACTCGTGGTAAAAGGCCTGGGGCCGGTTCATTGTATGAAAGTCTTTTGCAAAGTTAGATCCTAGTTAAACTCACAAATACACAACTCTGATTGGCTAATTCTGTTCTTAACTACAGTTACAAGTAACTAGTCTTTTATACATCAGCTAGGGGCCGGTCGTATCAAACTATTTAACTACATTTTGCATAGCTAAATCCTATAGTTAACTCAGAAATACTCGATTCTGATTGGCCAAGTCTGTTCTTGACTACACAGAAATACTCGATTCTGATTGGCCAAGTCTGTTCTTGACCACAGTTACAAGTAACTAGTCTTTTATACATCTGGGGCCGGTTGTATCAAACTATTTACTACATTTTGCATAGTTAAATCCTATAGTTATAAACTCAGAAATACACGATTCTGATTGGCCAAGTCTGTTCTTAACTACAGTTAAAAGTTACCTAGTCTTTAATACAACTGGCCCCAGGATTCAGGGGGTAAAAAACGTACCGGATAAAAGTTCCCTTTGTAGAAGCAGCTGGGGCATACACTCACAGATGCTACGACGAAAAAAAAAAAATAGAGATCAATATTTCACAATACAACACAAAAGCCCCCCACCCGACCTAATCAAATTGTCTTCAGAAAGCGGAATGATTAAAAGATAAAAGATACCAAGGGTTTATCACCACAAGCTAGTAGGAACTTACGCCAAAAAGAAAACCATTTCCACTACTTTTGTAATTGTCACCTAAATCCATATTCTTAAAGGAAAACTTCAAAAGGTCAACTCACCAGAAGGCCTACTAGTCGGACTTGGCGATGAAGGACGAATAGACGAAGGAACGCTGGACACGATCGGGGAAGTTGTGATAACAGAGACGCTTGGCTTCGAAGTGGAAGTAATTGGTGAGGTGATTACGGACGATGGAACGGAAATGCTGCTACTGCTCAAAGACGGACCACTGGAAGCTGGTGTGCTGAAGGACGGTGAGGGTGAATAACGGCTACTAAATGACGGGGACGATGGTGAACTGGTAGGGATTGAAATTGGAGCAGAACTTGAGGGAGGAGGTGGACTGAAAATACTGGTACTCGGTGTGAATATACTGCTAGATGACGAGGGTATGAATATGCTTGGTGAAAAAACACTTGTTGTCGGTCGTGATCGAGTGATTGTTGAACTCCGTACAACTGAAGACGAAAATACACTTGACGGAGCAGATGAAATAGTTGTTGTTGGGACGGATACACTAGTGGATGGAGAGCTGCTAACTGGAATGGAAGAATAGACAGTTGTTGGGGGAGCCACAGTGCTGCTGGTGGTTGAGGACTCGATGCAGTTGATGGGATTCGTGCCGAAGTTGTAGGCGATAAAGTCGAGACCGATGGCGACTTTGAAACATATGGGACTGATGTAGTAACTTGAACAGTGTTGGACTACTGGGCTTCGGTGACGAACTGGGTTTGCTAGTTGGTGCAGAAGTAACAATTGTTGTTGGAACGGATACACTAGTGGATGGAGAGCTGCTAGCTGGAATGGAAGAATAAACAGTTGTTGGGGGAGCCACAGTGCTGCTGGGTGGTTGAGGACTCGATGCAGTTGATGGGATTCGTTTTGAAGTTGTAGGCGATAAAGTCGACACCGATGGCGACTTTGAAACATATGGGACTGATGTAGTAACTTGAACCGTTGTTGGACTACTGGGCTTCGGTGACGAAGTGGGTTTGCTAGTTGGTGCAGCAGTAACAATTGTTGTTGGAACGGATACACTAGGGATGGAGAGCTGCTAGCTGGAATGGAAGAATAGACAGTTGTTGGGGGAGTCACAGTGCTGCTGGGTGGTTGAGGACTCGATGCAGTAGATGGTGTTTTTGGAACAGAAGATGAAGGGGGTGGTGGTTTGGTAAATACGTATGATGATGATTTCAGCAAAGAGCTTTGGGGAATTGATGATGTAGGTGTTGATGACTTGATAATAACAAATCCAGTTGATGGCAGTTGTGGAGGTGCCGTAGTTAAGAAAGAAGATAGAAGACTGGTTGACGAAACCGTTGTAACAGATGACGAAACAATTGTTGTTGGAACCGATACACTAGTGGATGGAGAGCTGCTAGCTGGAATGGAAGAATAGACAGTTGTTGGGGGAGTCACAGTGCTGCTGGGTGGTTGAGGACTCGATGCAGTTGATGGGATTCGTGCCGAAGTTGTAGGCGATAAAGTCGAGACCGATGGCGACTTTGAAACATATGGGACTGATGTAGTAACTTGAACCGTTGTTGGACTACTGGGCTTCGGTGACGAAGTGGGTTTGCTAGTTGGTGCAGAAGTAACAATTGTTGTTGGAACGGATACACTAGTGGATGGAGAGCTGCTAGCTGGAATGGAAGAATAGACAGTTGTTGGGGGCGCAAAGTGCTGCTGGGTGGTTGAGGACTCGATGCAGTTGATGGGATTCGTGCCGAAGTTGTAGGCGATAAAGTCAACACCGATGGCGACTTTGAAACATATGGGACTGATGTAGTAACTTGAACCGTTGTTGGACTACTGGGCTTCGGTGACGAAGTGGGTTTGCTAGTTGGTGCAGAAGTAACAATTGTTGTTGGAACGGATACACTAGTGGATGGAGAGCTGCTAGCTGGAATGGAAGAATAGACAGTTGTTGGGGGAGCCAAGTGCTGCTGGGTGGTTGAGGACTCGATGCAGTTGATGGGATTCGTGCCGAAGTTGTAGGCGATAAAGTCGAGACCGATGGCGACTTTGAAACATATGGGACTGATGTAGTAACTTGAACAGTTGTTGGACTACTGGGCTTCGGTGACGAAGTGGGTTTGCTAGCTGGTGCAGAAGTAACAATTGTTGTTGGAACGGATACACTAGTGGATGGAGAGCTGCTAGCTGGAATGAAGAATAGACAGTTGTTGGGGGAGCCAAAGTGCTGCTGGGTGGTTGAGGACTCGATGCAGTTGATGGGATTCGTGCCGAAGTTGTAGGCGATAAAGTCAACACCGATGGCGACTTTGAAACATATGGGACTGATGTAGTAACTTGAACCGTTGTTGGACTACTGGGCTTCCGTGACGAAGTGGGTTTGCTAGTTGGTGCAGAAGTAACAATTGTTGTTGGAACGGATACACTAGTGGATGGAGAGCTGCTAGCTGGAATGGAAGAATAGACAGTTGTTGGGGGAGCCACAGTGCTGCTGAGTGGTTGAGGACTCGATGCAGTTGATGGGATTCGTGCCGAAGTTGTAGGCGATAAAGTCGACACCGATGGCGACTTTGAAACATATGGGACTGATGTAGTAACTTGAACCGTTGTTGGACTACTGGGCTTCGGTGACGAACTGGGTTTGCTAGTTGGTGCAGAAGTAACAATTGTTGTTGGAACGGAATACACTAGTGGATGGAGAGCTGCTAGCTGGAATGGAAGAATAGACAGTTGTTGGGGAGCCAAAGTGCTGCTGGGTGGTTGAGGACTCGATGCAGTTGATGGGATTCGTGCCGAAGTTGTAGGCGATAAAGTCAACACCGATGGCGACTTTGAAACATATGGGACTGATGTAGTAACTTGAACCGTTGTTGGACTACTGGGCTTCGGTGACGAAGTGGGTTTGCTAGTTGGTGCAGAAGTAACAATTGTTGTTGGAACGGATACACTAGTGGATGGAGAGCTGCTAGCTGGAATGGAAGAATAGACAGTTGTTGGGGGAGCCACAGTGCTGCTGGGTGGTTGAGGACTCGATGCAGTAGATGGTGTTTTTGGAACAGAAGATGAAGGGGTGGGGTTTGGTAAATACGTATGATGATGATTTCAGCAAAGAGCTTTGGGGAATTGATGATGTAGGTGTTGATGACTTGATAATAACAAATCCAGTTGATGCAGTTGTGGAGGTGCCGTAGTTAAGACAGAAGATAGAAGACTGGTTGACGAAACCGTTAACAGATGACGAAACAATTGTTGTTGGAACGGATACACTAGTGGATGGAGAGCTGCTAGCTGGAATGGAAGAATAGACAGTTGTTGGGGGAGCCAAAGTGCTGCTGGTGGTTGAGGACTCGATGCAGTTGATGGGATTCGTGCCGAAGTTGTAGGCGATAAAGTCAACACCGATGGCGACTTTGAAACATATGGGACTGATGTAGTAACTTGAACCGTTGTTGGACTACTGGGCTTCGGTGACGAACTGGGTTTGCTAGTTGGTGCAGAAGTAACAATTGTTGTTGGAACGGATACACTAGTGGATGGAGAGCTGCTAGCTGGAATGGAAGAATAGACAGTTGTTGGGGGAGCCACAGTGCTGCTGGGTGTTGAGGACTCGATGCAGTTGATGGGATTCGTGCCGAAGTTGTAGGCGATAAAGTCGAGACCGATGGCGACTTTGAAACATATGGGACTGATGTAGTAACTTGAACCGTTGTTGAACTACTGGGCTTCGGTGACGAAGGGGTTTGCTAGTTGGTGCAGAAGTAACAATTGTTGTTGGAACGGATACACTAGTGGATGGAGAGCTGCTAGCTGGAATGGAAGAATAGACAGTTGTTGGGGGAGCCAAAGTGCTGCTGGGTGGTTGAGGACTCGATGCAGTTGATGGGATTCGTGCCGAAGTTGTAGGCGATAAAGTCAACACCGATGGCGACTTTGAAACATATGGGACTGATGTAGTAACTTGAACCGTTGTTGGACTACTGGGCTTCGGTGACGAACTGGGTTTGCTAGTTGGTGCAGAAGTAACAATTGTTGTTGGAACGGATACACTAGTGGATGGAGAGCTGCTAGCTGGAATGGAAGAATAGACAGTTGTTGGGGAGCCAAAGTGCTGCTGGGTGGTTGAGGACTCGATGCAGTTGATGGGATTCGTGCCGAAGTTGTAGGCGATAAAGTCAACACCGATGGCGACTTTGAAACATATGGGACTGATGTAGTAACTTGAACCGTTGTTGGACTACTGGGCTTCGGTGACGAAGTGGGTTTGCTAGTTGGTGCAGAAGTAACAATTGTTGTTGGAACGGATACACTAGTGGATGGAGAGCTGCTAGCTGGAATGGAAGAATAGACAGTTGTTGGGGAGCCAAAGTGCTGCTGGGTGGTTGAGGACTGATGCAGTTGATGGGATTCGTGCCGAAGTTGTAGGCGATAAAGTCAACACCGATGGCGACTTTGAAACATATGGGACTGATGTAGTAACTTGAACCGTTGTTGGACTACTGGGCTTCGGTGACGAAGTGGGTTTGCTAGTTGGTGCAGAAGTAACAATTGTTGTTGGAACGGATACACTAGTGGATGGAGAGCTGCTAGCTGGAATGGAAGAATAGACAGTTGTTGGGGGAGCCAAAGTGCTGCTGGGTGGTTGAGGACTTGATGCAGTTGATGGGATTCGTGCCGAAGTTGTAGGCGATAAAGTCAACACCGATGGCGACTTTGAAACATATGGGACTGATGTAGTAACTTGAACCGTTGTTGGACTACTGGGCTTCGGTGACGAACTGGGTTTGCTAGTTGGTGCAGAAGTAACAATTGTTGTTGGAACGGATACACTAGTGGATGGAGAGCTGCTAGCTGGAATGGAAGAATAGACAGTTGTTGGGGGAGCCACAGTGCTGCTGGGTGGTTGAGGACTCGATGCAGTTGATGGGATTCGTGCCGAAGTTGTAGGCGATAAAGTCGAGACCGATGGCGACTTTGAAACATATGGGACTGATGTAGTAACTTGAACCGTTGTTGGACTACTGGGCTTCGGTGACGAACTGGGTTTGCTAGTTGGTGCAGAAGTAACAATTGTTGTTGGAACGGATACACTAGTGGATGGAGAGCTGCTAGCTGGAATGGAAGAATAGACAGTTGTTGGGGGAGCCAAAGTGCTGCTGGGTGGTTGAGGACTCGATGCAGTTGATGGGATTCGTGCCGAAGTTGTAGGCGATAAAGTCAACACCGATGGCGACTTTGAAACATATGGGACTGATGTAGTAACTTGAACCGTTGTTGGACTACTGGGCTTCGGTGACGAAGTGGGTTTGCTAGTTGGTGCAGAAGTAACAATTGTTGTTGGAACGGATACACTAGTGGATGGAGAGCTGCTAGCTGGAATGGAAGAATAGACAGTTGTTGGGGAGCCACAGTGCTGCTGGGTGGTTGAGGACTCGATGCAGTTGATGGGATTCGTGCCGAAGTTGTAGGCGATAAAGTCACCGATGGCGACTTTGAAACATATGGGACTGATGTAGTAACTTGAACCGTTGTTGGACTACTGGGCTTCGGTGACGAACTGGGTTTGCTAGTTGGTGCAGAAGTAACAATTGTTGTTGGAACGGATACACTAGTGGATGGAGAGCTGCTAGCTGGAATGGAAGAATAGACAGTTGTTGGGGGAGCCAAAGTGCTGCTGGGTGGTTGAGGACTCGATGCAGTTGATGGGATTCGTGCCGAAGTTGTAGGCGATAAAGTCAACCGATGGCGATTTTGAAACATATGGGACTGATGTAGTAACTTGAACCGTTGTTGGACTACTGGGCTTCGGTGACGAAGTGGGTTTGCTAGTTGGTGCAGAAGTAACAATTGTTGTTGGAACGGATACACTAGTGGATGGAGAGCTGCTAGCTGGAATGGAAGAATAGACAGTTGTTGGGGGAGCCACAGTGCTGCTGGGTGGTTGAGGACTCGATGCAGTAGATGGTGTTTTTGGAACAGAAGATGAAGGGGGTGTGGTTTGGTAAATACGTATGATGATGATTTCAGCAAAGAGCTTTGGGGAATTGATGATGTAGGTGTTGATGACTTGATAATAACAAATCCAGTTGATGGCAGTTGGGAGGTGCCGTAGTTAAGACAGAAGATAGAAGACTGGTTGACGAAACCGTTGTAACAGATGACGAAACAATTGTTGTTGGAACGGATACGCTAGTGGATGGAGAGCTGCTAGCTGGAATGGAAGAATAGACAGTTGTTGGGGGAGCCAAAGTGCTGCTGGGTGGTTGAGGACTCGATGCAGTTGATGGATTCGTGCCGAAGTTGTAGGCGATAAAGTCAACACCGATGGCGACTTTGAAACATATGGGACTGATGTAGTAACTTGAACTGTTGTTGGACTACTGGGCTTCGGTGACGAACTGGGTTTGCTAGTTGGTGCAGAAGTAACAATTGTTGTTGGAACGGATACACTAGTGGATGGAGAGCTGCTAGCTGGAATGGAAGAATAGACAGTTGTTGGGGGAGCCACAGTGCTGCTGGGTGGTTGAGGACTCGATGCAGTTGATGGGATTCGTGCCGAAGTTGTAGGCGATAAAGTCGAGACCGATGGCGACTTTGAAACATATGGGACTGATGTAGTAACTTGAACGTTGTTGACTACTGGGCTTCGGTGACGAACTGGGTTTGCTAGTTGGTGCAGAAGTAACAATTGTTGTTGGAACGGATACACTAGCGGATGGAGAGCTGCTAGCTGGAATGGAAGAAAAGACAGTTGTTGGGGGAGCCAAGTGCTGCTGGTGGTTGAGGACTCGATGCAGTTGATGGGATTCGTGCCGAAGTTGTAGGCGATAAAGTCGACACCGATGGCGACTTTGAAACATATGAAACTGATGTAGTAACTTGAACCGTTGTTGGACTACTGGGTTTCGGTGACGAAGTGGGTTTGCTAGTTGGTGCAGAAGTAACAATTGTTGTTGGAACGGATACACTAGTGGATGGAGAGCTGCTAGCTGGAATGGAAGAATAGACAGTTGTTGGGGGAGCACAGTGCTGCTGGGTGGTTGAGGACTCGATGCAGTTGATGGGATTGTGCCGAAGTTGTAGGCGACAAAGACGACACCGATGGCGACTTTGAACATATGGGACTGATGTAGTAACTTGAACCGTTGTTGGACTACTGGGCTTCGGTGACGAAGTGGGTTTGCTAGTTGTGTGCAGAAGTAACAATTGTTGTTGGAACGGATACACTAGTGGATGGAGAGCTGCTAGCTGGAATGGAAGAATAGACAGTGTGTTGGGAGCCACAGTGCTGCTGGGTGGTTGAGGACTCGATGCAGTTGATGGGATTTGTGCCGAAGTTGTAGGCGACAAAGACGAGACCGATGGCGACTTTGAAACATATGGGACTGATGTAGTAACTTGAACCGTTGTTGGACTACTGGGCTTCGGTGACGAAGTGGGTTTGCTAGTTGGTGCAGAAGTAACAATTGTTGTTGGAACGGATACACTAGTGGATGGAGAGCTGCTAGCTGGAATGGAAGAATAGACAGTTGTTGGGGGAGCCACAGTGCTGCTGGGTGGTTGAGGACTCGATGCAGTTGATGGGATTCGTGCCGAAGTTGTAGGCGATAAAGTCGAGACCGATGGCGACTTTGAAACATATGGGACTGATGTAGTAACTTGAACCGTTGTTGGACTACTGGCTTCGGTGACGAACTGGGTTTGCTAGTTGGTGCAGAAGTAACAATTGTTGTTGGAACGGATACACTAGTGGATGGAGAGCTGCTAGCTGGAATGGAAGAATAGACAGTTGTTGGGGGAGCCAAAGTGCTGCTGGGTGGTTGAGGACTCGATGCAGTTGATGGATTCGTGCCGAAGTTGTAGGCGATAAGTCAACACCGATGGCGACTTTGAAACATATGGGACTGATGTAGTAACTTGAACCGTTGTTGGACTACTGGGCTTCGGTGACGAAGTGGGTTTGCTAGTTGGTGCAGAAGTAACAATTGTTGTTGGAACGGATACACTAGTGGATGGAGAGCTGCTAGCTGGAATGGAAGAATAGACAGTTGTTGGGGGAGCCACAGTGCTGCTGGGTGGTTGAGGACTCGATGCAGTAGATGGTGTTTTGGAACAGAAGATGAAGGGGGTGTGGTTGTGTAAATACGTATGATGATGATTCAGCAAAGAGCTTTGGGAATTGATGAGTAGGTGTTGATGACTTATAATAACAAATCCAGTTGATGGCAGTTGTGGAGGCTTGCCGTGTTAGACAGAAGATAGAGACTGGTTACGAACCTTTGTACAGATGACGAAGTAAAATTGTTGTTGGAACGGATACACTAGTGGATGGAGAGCTGCTAGCTGGAATGGAAGATAGACAGTTGTTGGGGGAGCCAAAGTGCTGCTGGGTGGTTGAGGACTCGATGCATTGATGGGATTCGTGCCGAAGTTGTAGGCGATAAAGTCGACACCGATGGCGACTTTGAAACATATGGACTGATGTAGTAACTGAACCGTTGTTGGACTACTGGGTTTCGGTGACGAAGTGGGTTTGCTAGTTGGTGCAGAAGTAACAATTGTTGTTGGAACGGATACACTAGTGGATGGAGAGCTGCTAGCTGGAATGGAAGAATAGACAGTTGTTGGGGAGCCACAGTGCTGCTGGGGTGGTTGAGGACTCGATGCAGTTGATGGGATTTGTGCCGAAGTTGTAGGCGACAAAGACGACCCGATGGCGACTTTGAAACATATGGGACTGATGTAGTAACTTGAACCGTTGTTGGACTACTGGGCTTCGGTGACGAAGTGGGTTTGCTAGTTGGTGCAGAAGTAACAATTGTTGTTGGAACGGATACACTAGTGGATGGAGAGCTGCTAGCTGGAATGGAAGAATAGACAGTTGTTTGGGGGAGCACAGCTGCTGCTGGGTGGTTGAGGACTCGATGCAGTTGATGGGATTGTGCGAAGTTGTAGGCGATAAAGTCGAGACCGATGGCGACTTTGAAACAATGGGACTGATGTAGTAACTTGAACCGTTGTTGGACTACTGGGGCTTCGGTGACGAACTGGGTTTGCTAGTTGGTGCAGAAGTAACAATTGTTGTTGGAACGGATACACTAGTGGATGGAGAGCTGCTAGCTGGAATGGAAGAATAGACAGTTGTTGGGGGAGCCACAGTGCTGCTGGGTGGTTGAGGACTCGATCCAGTAGATGGTGTTTTTGGAACAGAAGATGAAGGGGGTGGTGGTTTGGTAAATACGTATGATGATGATTTCAGCAAAGAGCTTTGGGGAATTGATGATGTAGGTGTTGATGACTTGATAATAACAAATCCAGTTGATGGCAGTTGTGGAGGTGCCGTAGTTAAGACAGAAGATAGAGACTGGTTGACGAACCGTTGTAACAGATGACGAAACAATGTTGTTGGAACGGATACACTAGTGGATGAGAGCTGCTAGCTGGAATGGAAGAATAGACAGTTGTTGGGGGAGCCAAAGTGCTGCTGGGTGGTTGAGGACTCGATGCAGTTGATGGGATTCGTGCCGAAGTTGTAGGCGATAAAGTCAACACCGATGGCGACTTTGAAACATATGGGACTGATGTAGTAACTTGAACCGTTGTTGGACTACTGGGCTTCGGTGACGAAGTGGGTTTGCTAGTTGGTGCAGAAGTAACAATTGTTGTTGGAACGGATACACTAGTGGATGGAGAGCTGCTAGCTGGAATGGAAGAATAGACAGTTGTTGGGGGAGCCACAGTGCTGCTGGGTGGTTGAGGACTCGATGCAGTTGATGGGATTCGTGCCGAAGTTGTAGGCGATAAAGTCGAGACCGATGGCGACTTTGAAACATATGGGACTGATGTAGTAACTTGAACCGTTGTTGGACTACTGGGCTTCGGTGACGAACTGGGTTTGCTAGTTGGTGCAGAAGTAACAATTGTTGTTGGAACGGATACACTAGTGGATGGAGAGCTGCTAGCTGGAATGGAAGAATAGACAGTTGTTGGGGGAGCCAAAGTGCTGCTGGGTGTTGAGGACTCGATGCAGTTGATGGGATTCGTGCCGAAGTTGTAGGCGATAAAGTCAACACCGATGGCGACTTTGAAACATATGGGATGATGTAGTAACTTGAACCGTTGTTGGACTACTGGGCTTCGGTGACGAAGTGGGTTTGCTAGTTGGTGCAGAAGTAACAATTGTTGTTGGAACGGATACACTAGTGGATGGAGAGCTGCTAGCTGGATGGAAGAATAGACAGTTGTTGGGGGAGCCACAGTGCTGCTGGGTGGTTGAGGACTCGATGCAGTAGATGGTGTTTTTGGAACAGAAGATGAAGGGGTGGTGGTTTGGTAAATACGTATGATGATGATTTCAGCAAAGAGCTTTGGGGAATTGATGATGTAGGTGTTGATGACTTGATAATAACAAATCCAGTTGATGGCAGTTGTGGAGGTGCCGTAGTTAAGACGGAAGATAGAAGACTGGTTGACGAAACCGTTGTAACAGATGACGAAACAATTGTTGTTGGAACGGATACACTAGTGGATGGAGAGCTGCTAGCTGGAATGGAAGAATAGACAGTTGTTGGGGAGCCAAAGTGCTGCTGGGTGGTTGAGGACTCGATGCAGTTGATGGGATTCGTGCCGAAGTTGTAGGCGATAAAGTCAACACCGATGGCGACTTTGAAACATATGGGACTGATGTAGTAACTTGAACCGTTGTTGGACTACTGGGCTTCGGTGACGAACTGGGTTTGCTAGTTGGTGCAGAAGTAACAATTGTTGTTGGAACGGATACACTGTGGATGGAGAGCTGCTAGCTGGAATGGAAGAATAGACAGTTGTTGGGGGAGCCACAGTGCTGCTGGGTGGTTGAGGACTCGATGCAGTTGATGGGATCGTGCCGAAGTTGTAGGCGATAAAGTCGAGACCGATGGCGACTTTGAAACATATGAAACTGATGTAGTAACTTGAACCGTTGTTGGACTACTGGGTTTCGGTGACGAAGTGGTTTGCTAGTTGGTGCAGAAGTAACAATTGTTGTTGGAACGGATACACTAGTGGATGGAGAGCTGCTAGCTGGAATGGAAGAATAGACAGTTGTTGGGGGAGCCACAGTGCTGCTGGGTGGTTGAGGACTCGATGCAGTTGATGGGATTCGTGCCGAAGTTGTAGGCGACAAAGACGACACCGATGGCGACTTTGAAACATATGGGACTGATGTAGTAACTTGAACCGTTGTTGGACTACTGGCTTCAGTGACGAAGTGGGTTTGCTAGTTGGTGCAGAAGTAACAATTGTTGTTGGAACGGATACACTAGTGGATGGAGAGCTGCTAGCTGGAATGGAAGAATAGACAGTTGTTGGGGGAGCCACAGTGCTGCTGGGTGGTTGAGGACTCGATGCAGTTGATGGGATTCGTGCCGAAGTTGTAGGCGATAAAGTCGAGACCGATGGCGACTTTGAAACATATGGGACTGATGTAGTAACTTGAACCGTTGTTGGACTACTGGGCTTCGGTGACGAACTGGGTTTGCTAGTTGGTGCAGAAGTAACAATTGTTGTTGGAACGGATACACTAGTGGATGGAGAGCTGCTAGCTGGAATGGAAGAATAGACAGTTGTTGGGGGAGCCAAAGTGCTGCTGGGTGGTTGAGGACTCGATGCAGTTGATGGGATTCGTGCCGAAGTTGTAGGCGATAAAGTCAACACCGATGGCGACTTTGAAACATATGGGACTGATGTAGTAACTTGAACCGTTGTTGGACTACTGGGCTTCGGTGACGAAGTGGGTTTGCTAGTTGGTGCAGAAGTAACAATTGTTGTTGGAACGGATACACTAGTGGATGGAGAGCTGCTAGCTGGAATGGAGAATAGACAGTTGTTGGGGAGCCACAGTGCTGCTGGGTGGTTGAGGACTCGATGCAGTTGATGGGATTTGTGCCGAAGTTGTAGGCGACAAAGACGACCGATGGCGACTTTGAAACATATGGGACTGATGTAGTAACTTGAACCGTTGTTGACTACTGGGCTTCGGTGACGAAGTGGGTTTGCTAGTTGGTGCAGAAGTAACAATTGTTGTTGGAACGGATACACTAGTGGATGGAGAGCTGCTAGCTGGAATGGAAGAATAGACAGTTGTTGGGGGAGCCACAGTGCTGCTGGGTGGTTGAGGACTCGATGCAGTTGATGGGATTCGTGCCGAAGTTGTAGGCGATAAAGTCGAGACCGATGGCGACTTTGAAACATATGGGACTGATGTAGTAACTTGAACCGTTGTTGGACTACTGGGCTTCGGTGACGAAGTGGGTTTGCTAGTTGGTGCAGAAGTAACAATTGTTGTTGGAACGGATACACTAGTGGATGGAGAGCTGCTAGCTGGAATGGAAGAATAGACAGTTGTTGGGGGAGCCACAGTGCTGCTGGGTGGTTGAGGACTCGATGCAGTAGATGGTGTTTTTGGAACAGAAGATGGGAGGTGGTGGTTTGGTAAATACGTATGATGATTTTCAGCAAAGAGCTTTGGGGAATTGATGATGTAGGTGTTGATGACTTGATAATAACAATCCAGTTGATGGCAGTTGTGGAGGTGCCGTAGTTAAGACGGAAGATAGAAGACTGGTTGACGAAACCGTTGTAACAGATGACGAAACAATTGTTGTTGGAACGGATACACTAGTGGATGGAGAGCTGCTAGCTGGAATGGAAGAATAGACAGTTGTTGGGGAGAGAAGTGCTGCTGGGTGGTTGAGGACTCGATGCAGTTGATGGGATTCGTGCCGAAGTTGTAGGCGATAAAGTCACACCGATGGCGACTTTGAAACATATGGGACTGATGTAGTAACTTGAACCGTTGTTGGACTACTGGGCTTCGGTGACGAACTGGGTTTGCTAGTTGGTGCAGAAGTAACAATTGTTGTTGGAACGGATACACTGGTGGATGGAGAGCTGCTAGCTGGAAGAAGAAGTTGTTGGGGGGCCACAGTGCTGCTGGGTGGTTGAGGACTCGATGCAGTTGATGGGATTCGTGCCGAAGTTGTAGGCGATAAAGTCGAGACCGATGGCGACTTTGAAATATGAAACTGATGTAGTAACTTGAACCGTTGTTGGACTACTGGGTTTCGGTGACGAAGTGGGTTTGCTAGTTGGTGCAGAAGTAACAATTGTTGTTGGAACGGATACACTAGTGGATGGAGAGCTGCTAGCTGGAATGGAAGAATAGACAGTTGTTGGGGGAGCCACAGTGCTGCTGGGTGGTTGAGGACTCGATGCAGTTGATGGGATTCGTGCCGAAGTTGTAGGCGACAAAGACGACACCGATGGCGACTTTGAAACATATGGGACTGATGTAGTAACTTGAACCGTTGTTGGACTACTGGGCTTCAGTGACGAAGTGGGTTTGCTAGTTGGTGCAGAAGTAACAATTGTTGTTGGAACGGATACACTAGTGGATGGAGAGCTGCTAGCTGGAATGGAAGAATAGACAGTTGTTGGGGGAGCCACAGTGCTGCTGGGTGGTTGAGGACTCGATGCAGTTGATGGGATTCGTGCCGAAGTTGTAGGCGATAAAGTCGAGACCGATGGCGACTTTGAAACATATGGGACTGATGTAGTAACTTGAACCGTTGTTGGACTACTGGGCTTCGGTGACGAACTGGGTTTGCTAGTTGGTGCAGAAGTAACAATTGTTGTTGGAACGGATACACTAGTGGATGGAGAGCTGCTAGCTGGAATGGAAGAATAGACAGTTGTTGGGGGAGCCACAGTGCTGCTGGTGGTTGAGGACTCGATGCAGTTGATGGGATTCGTGCCGAAGTTGTAGGCGATAAAGTCGAGACCGATGGCGACTTTGAAACATATGGGACTGATGTAGTAACTTGAACCGTTGTTGGACTACTGGGCTTCGGTGACGAACTGGGTTTGCTAGTTGGTGCAGAAGTAACAATTGTTGTTGGAACGGATACACTAGTGGATGGAGAGCTGCTAGCTGGAATGGAAGAATAGACAGTTGTTGGGGGAGCCAAAGTGCTGCTGGGTGGTTGAGGACTCGATGCAGTTGATGGGATTCGTGCCGAAGTTGTAGGCGATAAAGTCAACACCGATGGCGACTTTGAAACATATGGGACTGATGTAGTAACTTGAACCGTTGTTGGACTACTGGGCTTCGGTGACGAACTGGGTTTGCTAGTTGGTGCAGAAGTAACAATTGTTGTTGGAACGGATACACTAGTGGATGGAGAGCTGCTAGCTGGAATGGAAGAATAGACAGTTGTTGGGGGAGCCACAGTGCTGCTGGGTGGTTGAGGACTCGATGCAGTAGATGGTGTTTTTGGAACAGAAGATGAAGGGGGTGGTGGTTTGGTAAATACGTATGATGATGATTTCAGCAAAGAGCTTTGGGGAATTGATGATGTAGGTGTTGATGACTTGATAATAACAAATCCAGTTGATATAAGTTGTGGAGGTGCCGTAGTTAAGACAGAAGATAGAAGACTGGTTGACGAAACCGTTGTAACAGATGACGAAACAATTGTTGTTGGAACGGATACACTAGTGGATGGAGAGCTGCTAGCTGGAATGGAAGAATAAACAGTTGTTGGGGGAGCCACAGTGCTGCTGGGTGGTTGAGGACTCGATGCAGTTGATGGGATTCGTGCCGAAGTTGTAGGCGATAAAGTCGACACCGATGGCGACTTTGAAACATATGGGACTGATGTAGTAACTTGAACCGTTGTTGGACTACTGGGCTTTGGTGACGAAGTGGGTTTGCTAGTTGGTGCAGCAGTAACAAATGTTGTTGGAACGGATACACTAGTGGATGGAGAGCTGCTAGCTGGAATGGAAGAATAAACAGTTGTTGGGGGAGCCAAAGTGCTGCTGGGTGGTTGAGGACTCGATGCAGTTGATGGGATACGTTTTGAAGTTGTAGGCGATAAAGTCGGCACCGATGGCGACTTTGAAACATATGGGACTGATGTAGTAACTTGAACCGTTGTTGGACTACTGGGTTTCGGTGACGAAGTGGGTTTGCTAGTTGGTGCAGAAGTAACAATTGTTGTTGGAACGGATACACTAGTGGATGGAGAGCTGCTAGCTGGAATGGAAGAATAGACAGTTGTTGGGGGAGCCACAGTGCTGCTGGGTGGTTGAGGACTTGATGCAGTTGATGGGATTTGTGCCGAAGTTGTAGGCGACAAAGACGACACCGATGGCGACTTTGAAACATATGGGACTGATGTAGTAACTTGAACCGTTGTTGGACTACTGGGCTTCGGTGACGAAGTGGGTTTGCTAGTTGGTGCAGCAGTAACAATTGTTGTTGGAACGGATACACTAGTGGATGGAGAGCTGCTAGCGGGAATGGAAGAATAGACAGTTGTTGGGGGAGTCACAGTGCTGCTGGGTGGTTGAGGACTCGATGCAGTTGATGGGATTCGTGCCGAAGTTGTAGGCGATAAAGTCGACACCGATGGCGACTTTGAAACATATGGAACTGATGTAGTAACTTGAACCGTTGTTGGACTACTGGGTTTCGGTGATGAAGTGGGTTTGCTAGTTGGTGCAGAAGTAACAATTGTTGTTGGAACGGATACACTAGTGGATGGAGAGCTGCTAGCTGGAATGGAAGAATAGACAGTTGTTGGGGGAGCACAGTGCTGCTGGGTGGTTGAGGACTCGATGCAGTATGGTGTTTTTGGAACAGAAGATGAAGGGGTGGTGGTTTGGTAAATACGTATGATGATGATTTCAGCAAAGAGCTTTGGGGAATTGATGATGTAGGTGTTGATGACTTGATAATAACAAATCCAGTTGATGGCAGTTGTGGAGGTGCCGTAGTTAAGACAGAAGATAGAAGACTGGTTGACGAAACCGTTGTAACAGATGACGAAACAATTGTTGTTGGAACCGATACACTAGTGGATGGAGAGCTGCTAGCTGGAATGGAAGAATAGACAGTTGTTGGGGGAGCACAGTGCTGCTGGGTGGTTTAGGACTCGATGCAGTTGATGGGATTCGTGCCGAAGTTGTAGGCGATAAAGTCGAGACCGATGGCGACTTTGAAACATATGGGACTGATGTAGTAACTTGAACCGTTGTTGGACTACTGGGCTTCGGTGACGAAGTGGGTTTGCTAGTTGGTGCAGAAGTAACAATTGTTGTTGGAACGGATACACTAGTGGATGGAGAGCTGCTAGCTGGAATGGAAGAATAGACAGTTGTTGGGGGAGCCAAAGTGCTGCTGGGTGGTTGAGGACTCGATGCAGTTGATGGGATTCGTGCCGAAGTTGTAGGCGATAAAGTCAACACGATGGCGACTTTGAAACATATGGGACTGATGTAGTAACTTGAACCGTTGTTGGACTACTGGGCTTCGGTGACGAAGTGGGTTTGCTAGTTGGTGCAGAAGTAACAATTGTTGTTGGAACGGATACACTAGTGGATGGAGAGCTGCTAGCTGGAATGGAAGAATAAACAGTTGTTGGGGGAGCCACAGTGCTGCTGGGTGGTTGAGGACTCGATGCAGTTGATGGGATTCGTTTTGAAGTTGTAGGCGATAAAGTCGACACGGATGGCGACTTTGAAACATATGGGACTGATGTAGTAACTTGAACCGTTGTTGGACTACTGGGTTTCGGTGACGAAGTGGGTTTGCTAGTTGTTGCAGAAGTAACAATTGTTGTTGGAACGGATACACTAGTGGATGGAGAGCTGCTAGCTGGAATGGAAGAATAGACAGTTGTTGGGGGAGTCACAGTGCTGCTGGGTGGTTGAGGACTCGATGCAGTAGATGGTGTTTTTGGAACAGAAGATGAAGGGGGTGGTGGTTTGGTAAATACGTATGATGATGATTTGAGCAAAGAGCTTTGGGGAATTGATGATGTAGGTGTTGATGACTTGATATAACAAATCCAGTTGATGGCAGTTGTGGAGGTGCCGTAGTTAAGACAGAAGATAGAAGACTGGTTGACGAAACCGTTGTAACAGATGACGAAACAATTGTTGTTGGAACGGATACACTAGTGGATGGAGAGCTGCTAGCTGGAATGGAAGAATAACAGTTGTTGGGGGAGCCACAGTGCTGCTGGGTGGTTGAGGACTCGATGCAGTTGATGGGATTCGTTTTGAAGTTGTAGGCGATAAAGTCGACACCGATGGCGACTTTGAAACATATGGGACTGATGTAGTAACTTGAACCGTTGTTGGACTACTGGGCTTCGGTGACGAAGTGGGTTTGCTAGTTGGTGCAGCAGTAACAATTGTTGTTGGAACGGATACACTAGTGGATGGAGATCTGCTAGCTGGAATGGAAGAATAAACAGTTGTTGGGGGAGCCAAAGTGCTGCTGGGTGGTTGAGGACTCGATGCAGTTGATGGGATTCGTTTTGAAGTTGTAGGCGATAAAGTCGACACCGATGGCGACTTTGAAACATATGGGACTGATGTAGTAACTTGAACCGTTGTTGGACTACTGGGTTTCGGTGACGAAGTGGGTTTACTAGTTGGTGCAGAAGTAACAATTGTTGTTGGAACGGATACACTAGTGGATGGAGAGCTGCTAGCTGGAATGGAAGAATAGACAGTTGTTGGGGGAGCCACAGTGCTGCTGGGTGGTTGAGGACTCGATGCAGTTGATGGGATTCGTTTTGAAGTTGTAGGCGATAAAGTCGACACCGATGGCGACTTTGAAACATATGGGACTGATGTAGTAACTTGAACCGTTGTTGGACTACTGGGCTTCGGTGACGAAGTGGGTTTGCTAGTTGGTGCAGCAGTAACAATTGTTGTTGGAACGGATACACTAGTGGATGGAGAGCTGCTAGCTGGAATGGAAGAATAAACAGTTGTTGGGGGAGCCAAAGTGCTGCTGGGTGGTTGAGGACTCGATGCAGTTGATGGGATTTGTGCCGAAGTTGTAGGCGACAAAGACGACACCGATGGCGACTTTGAAACATATGGGACTGATGTAGTAACTTGAACCGTTGTTGGACTACTGGGCTTCGGTGACGAAGTGGGTTTGCTAGTTGGTGCAGCAGTAACAATTGTTGTTGGAACGGATACACTAGTGGATGGAGAGCTGCTAGCGAGAATGGAAGAATAGACAGTTGTTGGGGGAGCCACAGTGCTGCTGGGTGGTTGAGGACTCGATGCAGTTGATGGGATTCGTGCCGAAGTTGTAGGCGATAAAGTCGACACCGATGGCGACTTTGAAACATATGGGACTGATGTAGTAACTTGAACCGTTGTTGGACTACTGGGTTTCGGTGACGAAGTGGGTTTGCTAGTTGGTGCAGAAGTAACAATTGTTGTTGGAACGGATACACTAGTGGATGGAGAGCTGCTAGCTGGAATGGAATAGACAGTTGTTGGGGGAGTCACAGTGCTGCTGGGTGGTTGAGGACTCGATGCAGTAGATGGTGTTTTTGGAACAGAAGATGAAGGGGGTGGTGGTTTGGTAAATACGTATGATGATGATTTCAGCAAAGAGCTTTGGGGAATTGATGATGTAGGTGTTGATGACTTGATAATAACAAATCCAGTTGATGGCAGTTGTGGAGGTGCCGTAGTTAAGACAGAAGATAGAAGACTGGTTGATGAAACCGTTGTAACAGATGACGAAACAATTGTTGTTGGAACCGATACACTAGTGGATGGAGAGCTGCTAGCTGGAATGGAAGAATAGACAGTTGTTGGGGAGTCACAGTGCTGCTGGGTGGTTGAGGACTCGATGCAGTTGATGGGATTCGTGCCGAAGTTGTAGGCGATAAAGTCGAGACCGATGGCGACTTTGAAACATATGGGACTGATGTAGTAACTTGAACCGTTGTTGGACTACTGGGCTTCGGTGACGAAGTGGGTTTGCTAGTTGGTGCAGAAGTAACAATTGTTGTTGGAACGGATACACTAGTGGATGGAGAGCTGCTTGCTGGAATGGAAGAATAGACAGTTGTTGGGGGAGCCAAAGTGCTGCTGGGTGGTTGAGGACTCGATGCAGTTGATGGGATTCGTGCCGAAGTTGTAGGCGATAAAGTCAACACCGATGGCGACTTTGAAACATATGGGACTGATGTAGTAACTTGAACCGTTGTTGGACTACTGGGCTTCGGTGACGAAGTGGGTTTGCTAGTTGGTGCAGAAGTAACAATTGTAGTTGGAACGGATACACTAGTGGATGGAGAGCTGCTAGCTGGAATGGAAGAATAGACAGTTGTTGGGGGAGCCACAGTGCTGCTGGGTGGTTGAGGACTCGATGCAGTTGATGGGATTCGCGCCGAAGTTGTAGGCGATGAAGTCGAGACCGATGGCGACTTTGAAACATATGGGACTGATGGAGGCCGCGGAACTTCAACCGTTGTTGGACTAGTGGGCGTCGGTGACGAAGTCGGTTTACTAGTTGGTACAGAAGAAACAATTGTTGTTGGAACGGATACACTAGTGGATGGAGAGCTGCTAATTTGAATGGAAGAATAGACAGTTGTTGGGGGAGCCACAGTGCTGCTGGGTGGTTGAGGACTCGATGCAGTTGATGGGATTCGTGCCGAAGTTGTAGGCGATGAAGTCGAGACCGATGGCGACTTTGAAACATATGGGACAGATGTAGTCGGCGTTACTTGAACTGTTGTTGGACTACTGGGCGTTGGTGACGAAGTCGGTTTACTAGTTGGTACAGAAGAAACAATCGTGGTTGGAACGGATACACTAGAG